AGATCCTAACCACGTGAAAGAGCCAGCCTACCCAGTTCCTGTGCCCTTCTCTGGCCACCTCTTATCTGTGGTCCCCCCCTTCCACTTGGGAGGTTGGCCTCTGTAACTGCTTTTTCCTCTGAAGCTGTGCTCACCCAGCACCGACATTTCCACATCTCCAGCCGCTGCAGGGCCACCTGCCTCACTGGCAGCAGGGCACCAGAACCTTCAGCATCCCTGACACCTGCTGAATCCATCCCCATGCTGCCGGTGTCCTCAAGTTTGTCCCTCCCATAGCCACACAGTCAGAAAGGTTGGCCTTGCTTACACAGACTGCTTCATCCTTCACCTCCACGCCGCCTTACCAGCAATCGGGACAGCAGGAGCCCCTTCTGGCCTCCATATGCTGTGCCTCTGACCCGAAACTGACCCTGCCTGCCACTTTCTATGGGTTCTGCATATAGCATGGAAACCTCATGACCTCACATCGACAGAAGACTTTTCCATATGGGACCTGGCCACACCTGCCCTGTTATGGTAGTGCTCATAACAGGCTGGTCCTGCATCATTTCCTCACCTAACCTCACAGGATGGAAGCTGCATTGGGCTTGGGGGTGAGGTGGGGACTTTCTTCTGACTGCCCGGAGACCTGATGACCTTCAGGATGTAGAATCAGTGGGTGGGAGGATATGGGAATGAGGAAGGGAACCTGTGACTCCTGTGGCCAGTCCAAGGAAATTGAGGACAGAGAATTGCCAGGGGCAGTGAAGAATGACCACCTGACTGGGGAGAGCTGAAGTAGAGATGGGAAGAGCCAGGCACAGGAAGTGTAGCCTGTGACAAAGGTGAGCAGGTGGAGCTAGACAGGGACTCGTCCAGTCAGAGCTGCCCACTGCCACCCACCATGAGACCCATTACTCCGACGCACACGGCCTGGGTGAGAGGAGCATGAGCTGCTGACAGGATGCAGTTCCACGGGACGCTCACTTCAACCATTATTGGGGGTGGCCTGCAACCCAGCACCCCGTTATGTCCAAGGCGAAGGGCAGTGGCAGAGCTCAACCCTCACTGGCAGTCCTGGACACAGCAGCGTCACACCAAGTCCACACAGGAACGGAAGTCAGTAGGCGCTCGTGCTGATGGAAACTTCCTTTGGAGAGAACCAAATGCACATGGCCAAACTGATCCCGTTCAACAGAAGCCTTAAAAAGTCAAACGCAGCAACGGGCATGATGCAGCACATGCGACAGGACCTGGAGGCGGAGGTGTGAGGCAGTCACTCAGACGCGCAAGGTAGTCATGGCAGAGGGGGCTGACAGCTACACAGGAATCTGAAGAATAAAGGTCCCTTGGGTGGTTGCAAACCTGCATCGCTAAACCTGCATGCTGAACCTGCACGCACCAGTAAGCAAGTGCGGAGAGAAGGCCCAGATGCAGAGTCATACTGGGAGACGCCCTCCAACAGCTGCCCTAGAGCTGGACATCGGTGGCTGACACCAGGCTGACCGCACAGGTCCACGGGCAGCCGTTGGCCCTGGGTGGGTACTGAGCCTTCTGAAGTGGGTGTGCAACCGAGGACTACGAAGTTACAATCTAAATAAAAAGTGAGCATGGGCCCTCCCCCAGTCCGCCTCCCCAATCCCGACTAGCCGGAGCCAGCACCCTAACCTAAGAGCACTGGACGACAGAGCCCTCTGAAGGCGGACAGCACAGGAAGGTACGTTCATTAGGTGCATCTGAGTTTTACAGTGACATCATGCTCAACAGGATTTGGCTTCATTGGGCAGCATAAAATATTTTGTTAAGTGATCTCACCTATTTCTCTTTACTTTTTTAACGGTAGCTATTAGAAAACTAGTAAACTCACAGCACACCTCTATTGACCACGGTTCCTGAATTAGTTCACAAGGGGCCTTTCAAAGAGGATGCCTGTAAAAACCCATCACTGACAGATTATAGTGTGGTGGGAAGATGTTCTAGTTCAGTAGGCTTTGTGCTTTAAACCCAAAGACGACCTTCCTCAGCGAGGGATACAAAAGAATTAAGAGTGTAACCTGACTGTCTAACTCCTCCCCTTTCCCCCCTCTGGGAATCCGACACAGAGACGGTGATATGAAGACTCCTGAAAAATTCGAGAACACTGAATCTAGTTTGAAAAGATGGCTCCCCCTCCCTGAAGCCTCAGGCTACAAATGCCTGCATACTGAAAGTGACAATAAATTGAGCAGGCAATTAAGACACATGAGACAAAACTCTGAAGGATGATACAGAGATAATGCAGAAAAGTCATTGTCTTAGTAAGCAGCTATGTAGAAAAAAACTCAAAACTAAGAAACAGGGAACGGCTAGAAACATCAAGGATGAAAGAAAAATGTGTACGTCAGATTAGGTACATGCAGAGTACTGAGGGTACAACACAGCCACCCAGAAAGAAACTAGACAAGCCCACCCCTTAAATTCTATGCAAAACCGTCAAACAGGAACCACAAAAAAGGGGGCTGAAGAGATGGCTCAGCAGTGAAGAGCACTTGCCTTTAACCTGGCTTCAATTTTCAGCATCCACAGGGCAGCTCACACCGGTCTGTAACTCCAATTCCAGGCCTTCTGACACCCTCACACAGTCATTCATGCAGGCAAAAAGACCAATGCACATAAAATAAAAAAAAGTTGTATATTAAAAGAAAACACAAGAAGAAACCATTTGAATTTCTCTCCTTTCCTGAGCCTCCTCCTCCAGAAGTGCCAAGAACTGATGGACTGTCTGGTAAACTGCTGCTAAGTTTTGAGACACACAGTCATCTCTGTTGTTCCCAAAGGCTCAGATATTTGGGGGAGCCTATTCGCAGCTCAGTATGTACTCCCGGCCCACGGAAGGGCACTCTGTCCTCTGTCATAAATATCCGGATGGCTGTCACGAGCTGATGCTACAGGCAAGACCTTGACTCTACACCTGATGAGCCAGGACTTCCTTAGCTTTGCAGTGACCCAGAAACTATCAGACCAGAAGCAACATGCCTGTCTCAACCACACAGACAGCACCTCGTCACAGTTGAAAGGATATTTATAAAAATGATACCCTAAGAGCCCTGGGTGAACAAAGTCGGAGGCCACTTCAGAGTGAGGGGTCAACGGTTGCTATGCTAACTTGCTACTGGCCAGAGAGGCTCTTAGTATGGACCTCCTCAGAGCTTCCAGTCTTAACCCGGGGTGGCCAGTGCTCCTGAGTGTCATCCGGCTTCCTGGGACAGCAACAACCAAACAAGTCTGATCAATGGCAGGGCCATGACAGGTGAGAGTTCTCGGTGACTTCAGGCACTTAGGAGCCCATGTTGGTATGGCCCAAAGCAGGTAACGTTAGCCAATAACGAAGACCTAGTGCAGGTTCCTCACTTTCCTTTATTTTTTTTTTTTTAAGATTTATTTATTTATCATGTATACAGTGTTCTGCCTGCATGTATGCCTGCAGGCCAGAAGAGGGCACCAGATCTCATTATAGATGGTTGTGAGCCACCATATAGTTGCTGGGAATTGAACTCAGGACCTCTGGGAGCACAGTCTGTGCTCTTAACCACTGAGTCATCTCTCCAGCCCCTTTCCTTTATTTAATAATAAGGTGAGACCAGTGCTGGTGTCTGCATCCGAGACTGCCAGCGCCTAGTGCCTGAGTGTCCGTGTTTGGAATTTGATCACCAAGCAATGTGCACCTCGTCGGGCTGATTCACTTCAAAGAGAGAGCACACAGCCCTCTTCAGCCAGCCTCCAGGATGCTAAGCCGTGCTCCTCACTGGAACACTTCTGACTGTGACTTGATTCATTAGAGTTGTAGCCAGCTGACTCAAAAAAAAAAAAAAAAGGTTTTAAAACTCAAGAATTTTAGGTTAAGTGAAGTGAGACTGGTTAATCTGTTTAGGAGGCACCTCCCAGGACACAGTCCACATGCTTGTAACTACCTGGGACCGCAGGCTTTCCTTAGTGCCTCTGACATTAATAACATAGAATAGTACCTATTAGTGGCTTTCTGTGGAGCAGGTGTAAGGGAGACTCACGAGAGGCATTAGAAATGACACCTTGGTAGGACTCTGGCACAAGGAGACCCAAACTACTGAGCACAGTGCCAGTCTCACGGCCGCAGCAGACTGAGCTCAGTTTGCAGCTTCGGCTTCAGCAGACGGCCTTCCAGTTTATCAGTCCTTTTATTGATGAGGAACAATTTCCAAAGGAGTTAAAAGGTTGGTGATAAGTGCAACTGAGCAATGCAGGTGCTGGACTGAGTGCTACCTGTCAAGCTGTCTCGATGCAGTCAACAAACCTGTGCGCCACCTCAGATTTAGCCACAAGCTGAAATAAAGTCAGCAATGACCAGATCAGATAATCATGACACCTGTCAAAACCCACCCAGCTCTGATTAGTATGGCGACCGGGGTTAGAGAGACCTAGGACTCCCCACGCCGTCCCCCTTCACTGCAGATGAAGTGACCGGGAAGGGGGTCTGGGTCATCCCAGCAAGCTGCCGTCTGAATTTGGAGATGGTTACATTGAGAGTAGACAATGAAGGGTAAGTCCCTTCAAACTTATTCTAGCTTTGACTGTTGCCAAGGCCCGGGGCTCACCCATTTTGAGTAAGATGTCATGTGGGGCAGGACAGTGACTAAGCCTCCAAAACTCTAGGTTTTCACGGCAGATGCTGTGCGCTTAGCAGGACTTGCTCGCATGCGGCATGACAAATGGCCGACTACTGTCACTGGCCTGTCGGGAGAACAAGAGGGAAGAGGCAAACAGACATGCCCCAGGACAAAACATTAGATCTGACCTGCTCAAGACAGGCGAGGACCTAAACACTAGGGTACCTGTGCTGGCCCCTGTGGTGGATGATGGCATAACAGGGCTTAGGAACAGCCACTGGGGTAGCACACACACCTTACAGGCCAGCGCTGCTCCTTCTGTGACATGGACACTACATACACCTGAGCAGTGTGAACTCAGTACAGAGAGAGGGTGGGAGGGAAAAAAGACGCTCAAAGTTTCAGTAATTCAATAATTTATTCCTCTAAAAAAGTGTGTAAAAGTATATAGCTCTCATCCACAAGGTATATATGAATGACATTTAAAATGGAGGCCTTTATCATTGTTTCTTTTTATCAAAGTCTTTAGTGTATTGAACCAGCGCTGTGCTGTAGTTCTTAAATGAACAACACATATTTTTGTATTCTTTCCAATTGTCTGCTATATATAAAAGAAGCTCACTGCAAAAATGCTTGAAGGAAAAAGGAAACAAAAAAATCAGAACTTCCCAGAAATGTACAGCTTTTACATTTAAAAAAGGCTCTGAAATATACATACAGGCATGCCAGACAAGCCCTCCCTGCTCCCCTCCCACCTCCCCATTTCAAACCATGGTAGGAGTTCTGATTTCTGCAGAATTTTCAAAATTAAAAATTAAAAAAAAAAATAAAATAACTTCTCACTCTGTAGCAAATCCAGGGCTTGTACATTTCAGATTAATTCTGTAAAAAACTCACAAGTAAAATAATGCATATTTAAGGGAAATATTATACAGACTTTTTCACACAGAAGTACATAATAAGATTTTTTTAAATCTATTGCCATTCATTTATTTTTGCACAAAAAACGTATAAATATGTCACCAGCCTTTCTTAACTTAAAAACTTAAATAAAAGACACCAGATGAAAACTACCCTTTGCTGCCTTCTTTTAAAACTTTTTATAGTGTTTTTCTGGGTTTTTTTTTTGTTTTTTTTTTCTTTCATTTTTTTCTTTTTCTGTGTAGAGTTGGGTTTCTAGGGAAGAAAAGCCCCTGCAGTAAAAACAGTCCATTTAAAAAAAAGAGAGAGAGAGAGAGAGGTTCAAAGTTCTGATGAATTCTGAGAAAAAGCAACCCCAAGTGGTAAAAGACTACAAACATCTACTTTACAGCCCATCTTCGCCAGGGTGACTTTATACAAGTGTACATCCCCATCATCTCACGTTCTCAAAAGGCCTTGAGGGTTTCCTCTCTGATAAGAAAAAATAGCACTGCGATATTTAAGTCAATTTTACACTGTACACGTTAGATACAAATGGTTTGATATATCAGATATTTTAAGCTATACATTGGAAAGTCATCCCCCCCCCCAGCTGGTGGGACAGAGAACAATCACCCATTTACAAGTTATTTCTCTGCTTTCACATCCCCACCATCTGTTATGTAATATAATGTTTTAAACGTTAGATTATCTCAAGAAAAATACTTTTACAAAATCACATCAATTATTACATTTTCCTTTTTTTTCTTTGTTAATAACCAGGACATGAAAGTCTCTTGGAAGAACTTAGTTTGCAGGACTCTCCCATGGAAGTCAGGCTCACTGCCCATCAGGCAGCTCTGGGAAGCCAGTCCACACCACCACCCACAGACAGAAACATATGACATAAGGGCTAGAAACAGGGCTTCAAAGTCAACCCTAAGGTCTGGGAGGGGGAGTCAAAAATACTTCAATCAGCTGTTAATGCTTTAAAAAGGCATTGTTTTTTTAAAGTTCCACACAGAGGCTCAGCTTCAAGTACTGATTTAACGGTTGAGTTGTACTATTTGTTTCTTTGAAATGATATTCCTATGGTCCAGAAGAAAATTCACCATGTTTGTAACCGGTTTTTGTGATATGTACAAAAGTCCCTTTTGATCTAATGAAAGGAGAGACCTGGGTTCTGTAAGATTCTCTAGAAAAGATATTTATTTCCATGTGACTGTATAGAGAAGTGATTATGGTCCTTGCCGCCTCCAGTGCGGGGCTGAGCCTGACTGCCTTCGTAGACAAGTGTAACCCACCCACGGTGTGGGCCACACAGCACAGCACAACACTCGGAACCCTGGTGGTTCTTAACAGAATCTACTGCTGGGTGGTTATGACTGCATTGCTTTTCTGGCATGATCTCCCCAGTTCTCACTCCTTTTCTGGCTTCTAGGACAGAGGTATGTGGTCAGAGAATCCTATGGTGGGTCTCAGTGGGTTTCAGCTACTGTACCTGGTCCTCAAGATTAGAAAAAACAAAGTTGCAAAAACCTTACAACAAAATTAAAAATAAATAAACAAAATGCAGCTGTCTCCAGACCTCCTGTGTCTACAAGGGTGTGTGGACAACCAAAGCCCTCCTGACAGGCTGGGGAGGCGGAGACCCCAGTACTAAACCTGTACTGGATGGAGTTGGTTCGTAGTTGTGACACGTCCCAGGTTATGGAATCCGGGTGCCCCACAGGCACCCACCATTGGCTAGAGGATTGCATCCAGAGGGCTGGACAGCCTGACACTGACAGAGGCTGACCGCAGACGCTTGTGCAAAAGGACAGTGTCTTTTCTGTTTCCCTCTTCCTGGTGACTGCGGGCTGCACACATCACACATTGGCTCAAGTCACTTCTTAAGGAAATTTCCAGGTCCTCATGAAACACGTCAAGGAGTCACTGTGGCACGAACACTGCAGAAAGAGCAAGTGCCTGCTCAGAAGGCGTCACAGTGCAGGGCTGTAGGGAGTGCTCTGGAAAAGGCCGGGCATCTGTAGACTGGAGCTGGCTCCTTGGCCAAGGCTGCAGGAGAGCTGAGGCAGAGGGACCCACTTCCTGGTTAGAGCATGTTCATGATGGCGTTGTACAACTGCGTGAGCACCACAAAGTGGATGGGAAGGCAGGAAGTGCGGTCCTGGGTGGCCGGATTGCACGTGAGCCAGGATAGGGCATTGTAATGCTCCAGAACAAACCTGCCAGGGAGAACACACAAATCAGCTTCTGGACCACTAGGTTTGGGGTGAGCCTGGAGGCCAGTGCAGCCCACCTTGCACTCCTTCACACTGCACTGTCTAACTATGGGGGCCACCAGGGTCACTAAACATTAAGATGAGGCAAGTCTGAACGGAGACTGCTTCATGTTGGCTAAATGCCAAAATAAGAATACATTGGCAATACTGAACTGAAAAATGTACCAAATATTTCACCAACATTTGGCTTTAACCAGTTTCTCAATGTTAATCTGTTGTGGTCACTTGAAAAAAAAAAAGTGTGGCGGACAGGGTCTACCCAACTATTCTAGATATTTAGTACATGACCTGAAACTCGGCTCACAGTCTTAGCTAGCAGCCTGAACACTGGGCGTCTGGGCATACAGCACACACTTCACCCCTTGTTCTGTGTTCCAGAGAGCCTGGAAACCAAGATCTTACTGATGAGGCTTCTGCCTGTGAGAGAGCACGAGGAAGAGCTCTTGCGTCTTCTCAAAGCACCTGACAGCTTTTGCTTGTTTTAAGATCTGGTCTTGAATCTGGGAAGGTGGCACAGTTAGTGATATGAGAACTTGAATTTCTGCCCAGGAACTGTGTAAAGCAGGGCACAGAGTGCACACCTATAGTCAACAGTATGGGTGGGATGAGCTCCAGGCTAGGCGAGACCCTGTCCCAGAGTAAGGTGGAGAGGGACTGATGACAATGGCTGACCTTGGGCATGTACACCCACGTGCACAAAGCCACAGGGTCTCCTGTAGCCCAGGCTAGACTCTGGCTTTGAAGTCAGTAAGTAGCTGAGGATTTGACCTCCTGGTTCTTTTGCCTTTTCCTTCCAAGTTCTGGGATTACAGGCATGCACCATTATACCAGACTCACAGCGTAAAATTTTATGTGGTGCTAAAAACAGCAAAAGAGAACCCATGCTTCTGGGATGCATTTTGCAACACAGAATTTATGTTCTAGTAAGACACATGTATCTGTCTATAGCAGGGAAGGTTAAAAAGTGTTTTCAGGTAAAACAATTCCAGACACTGTCTTCCAACTGTCCCTGCACCCAGGACTGACACTTTCATCGCCTTCTTGGAACAGGAAGGGAAGTGTCCCATGCACTTAACTGTGTAGTTAATGAAGTACAAACACTGCCTGTACCAAGCAGCCGTGTCCCTGTGAGCATCACCTGTACTAGTACACTGAGGGAAGCAAGGAGGAAGGAGCATCACCTTAAAACATCAGATGTGGTCTTGGAGTCCAGAGGGTGTGGAGCCCGCTGGGAGTTCCTGGCAGGAAGGAGCTCATCTGTCTGTGCTACAGAGATGTGGTGATGGAGTGAAGCCTGTGGGGGAGAGAGAGCATTCATGCCCAGGTACAGAACAACAGACAGGAATCACCGAGACCCCGGAGTCAGACTGCTATGTACCCAAGTGCTCCAACTGCTCAGTAACCTCCTGTGACGTAGCACCACATTCTAGAGTTAAGATCAAGGCCAGGTTCAGGGGCCTTTCTTCCTGGTTTAACTAACTTTGTTTGCTTCTTTAAAAGAAATACTTATTTTATGTGTGCACACATGTGCACATCACAGCACACACGAGGGTCAGGAGACAACTTGCTGGAGTCAGTCCCCCTCTTCCATCACACGGGTCCCAGAACTGAACTCATGACTTAGTGAGCCCCCTCACCAGTCCATCTGTAACATAACAGCCCATCACACAGAACAGTTGTTCCTATGCAAGGCTGTGTGCCCTGCCACCAAAGCTGAACAAGGGCCACTACCAGTCACTCAGTTTTGAGTATTTTCCCCTTTGGAATATTTTAAAAAGCAAAACCAATTGTTGTTTCATTTCTCTTGTAAATTTAGGAGGTAAAGCTTACAGATAAGAACTTTTAAAAACAGTAATATGTATCATACATAATAAAAAATTCCTTTGTATCAACTGATAGGTTACAGACAATCTCCCCTGGTAATCTTGAAACTTCCTCTTCCTTTCTCCAGTCACGGGCCAACCTGGTGTGTGTTGGAAATGAGTAAGGAGTGTCAAAGGCTCTGCAGTCCATGTGGCTGGTCTGTCCCGTGGTTCTTTTAAATACCTTCTACCTTTCAGATTCCTCACAAACCGCCTGTTGATCCGGAGGCTCAATTACGGGTGTGTCTCCAGGTGGGCGGGGCAGGCAGGAAGACATCTATGTCACTTGAGCGCTGAAGACTTGAGTGGCAGTGCAGCAAAAGGCACGGTTGGCTGTCCCGAGGCAGCAACGCAGACTGAACTGTGTGAAGCGACGGTCCATTCCCGTCATGCTTCATCTTCAGGTGAGCACCCTGCTCCCACACCACCTTCCATGCACCTAGCACAGAGTGACAATTCACTGTGTCCTCTAGGGTCACACTGTGTCTGCCACCTCTGATTTGGATGCCAACTAACAGTCCAGTCCTAGGGAAATTCCTTGCTTTTATGGCCAACAAAATGTTATCAGCTACATCCTGAATATTTCTCACTTTGGGTCTGAAATCAGTCAGTTCTTCAACGAGCTCAGATGTTTTGAGCAATAAGTAAAAATTAGTAACTACAATCACTACAATGCAGGTGTTTATTGTAGCCAAGCTGTTATTGTTCCCAGGTTTTACAGAAGAACAAATGTAAAAATTACAGATTTCCATGGCTTGTGGTATTACACGAAGTCCTGAGAAACGCTGCTTTCACTCCCAAGTGTTTAGATTCCCCCTTCCTTGTCCCTGGGAGATACAAACATCTCACAGGTTACTACTGCAGGGTAACCTCCATGCTGCAGAACAGGCACACAAAGTCTGTCCTGCTGGGTGGTGGATACCCAACGATGCACTATGTGGTGAGGCTGTACAGCTGGTTCAGTCAGCCTTACTGATGGGCACTTAGTTTTTCCTCATCTTTCACACAGCCATCCTGTTTGCATATTCTGAGACAGTATTGCTGTGCTATTCAAGTTTGCTTCAACTCACAACTCATATGATTCTCCCACCTCGGCTCCCTTCCTAGCTGGGCATGGGCATGTACCAACTACATTTGCCATTCTTCACATCTGCCAACACAGAGACTGCTGGAGGTGGCTGTGCTGTGCCAAAAGGGGAGATCAAGGCTGGTATTACTCAGTACCCTCCTTTGCCAGGAGTCCTCTCCAAGGTACACTCTCAAACCTGTGTCTCTTGCCAGCCTTCAGGTGAGGAATGGATTCCACTCTAGGCTCTTTCACGCTCTTCAAGTTTGGGGTCTTGTTTTAAAAAGCCTTGAGCTCTGGATCAATAGGTTCCAAAAGCCATGCAAGGAAAACAACCACGGAAGTGAAAGGCACGACTGACCCCCACTCTGCTTTCTGGAGGATGCTGCCAGTGTGCAGTCAAGCAGGACTGTGCTGCAGGCCATGGTCAGCAGCCAGGACTGACTGGGAGAGTGCCAGGCTGAGCCACGTGTTGCTTCTGCACTTATGATGGTCCTGATCACCTCCTGAAGTTAATGTGGACTCACTTCTTAATAGCAGGTTTGGGTTCCTCTCCTAAACCCACTCTCCAGTAACTGTATCTCCTCAGAGTATTAAGTGACAGGAGAGAAAGGAATACAAAGAGACTGTGGCAACTAGCAGGAAATTTTTAGTTCAACCTAAAGAAAATATGAGCCCATGATTCTTCTTAAACTTCAGAAAGCATCAAACCAACCTTTAGGAAGAGAGGGCACTGGTTCCGGGCCTGGGGACACGATGACCAAAACCACTGCGGGAGGTTTTCAGCTTTGGCAGTTGACACAAAATACCCAAGGGCCAGTGGCTGCTGCTTGAGCTCCTCCGGGGCCTCCCGAGACAGAAGTCGCTCACCCTGGCTCTGAAAAACATGGCCCCAAATCACAATGAGCACCGTCAGGAGGTGACCATGGTTTTCCCCATGACTCTGGTCACTAGTGATGGTCTCCTGCCTGCATATCTTCCACCAAGTTCCGGGCAGCTGAGAAATATGACAGGAAATACACAAGTCTCTGCAGCCAGCTTAGGCACTGACAAGATCATACCATCCTGACAAGATGGGTACACTGGTGCTGGGGCTTTATGCTACAGCACGCTGAGACAGGAGAACCTAACATCCTCAGCTGCTCTTTCGCCATCGGTCCCCAGAACCCCCAGAGCACACCTGTTCTCCATCATCACTGGGATGAGAACTAAGTGCCATGCACCAGAATGCACAGGGTAGCAATGCTCCTGGCACTGTGTAGAGTCTGGAGTGCCTTACTGCAGCACTTTCCGCCCCAGTGGCTATCCAGAATTTAAAAGGTGCCTTTAGCACAAGTAATAGTAAGTGATCAGTTGTTTCTGGATGCCTTCTATTTAGAGAAAGAAATGATCTTTAATTACTTACTATATCAAATCCTATCAACTCTGATTCTGGACATAATAAAAAATAAAAATATTTTTATGGCCCAAGAAAAAAAGCAAAGCCGGGATATAGCAGTATATGTACACACATCTATGTGCATGCAATCCACACTCTTAGGAGATAAGGACATTAAGGTAGGAGGATCAGACTTCAAGGTACAATAAACAATAGCCTTTGCTGTCACCTTGAACACACAGTCCTACTTAATGACTTAACTCGAGATAAACCGTCTAGAAAAAGGAAACGCTCAAGAGCTTCTTGGAGTCACCAGGCTGAGGAGCTCAGCACTGAGAAAGGCCACCTGACTAGTTTCGGGATAGAACTGTTTGCACGCAACATCCAGGCTCTGAGAAAGGAAGAGCACACAGGCACCTCCATCAGATAAGGCTTTATGAACTAAGATGAACTACAGCAGCAAACACATGACTGGGGCTCACTGCAGATCACAGTGAACCAAGTCACAGGAATATTCATTATTCCTGTTTCAGTTTCTGTCAAAATAACCTCCAGTAAACAAGCTGCTTGTCACTCTCTGGTCATCAGTCTAAAGGAAACCTAGACATTTACCATCTCATCCTCACTGAGGGCACTGCACAGTCCTGTCCCTTCAGTTGCTCCACGACTAAAGTAAGTGCTAAGCCTTCCTTCTGAGCACCCGTAAGTGACTGCAGTGCTGGCAACATGGTCCTGTCTAGGAGTCAGTGGACAGAGGGCTGCTGCACTTACTCAGGGCAGACACCAGACAACAGATTCTCAGTGACCTAATCTCCCAAGAACCATTATTAGAAGCACAGCACAACCATGAGACCTTTGTCCTGCTGGCTGGGACAAACCTGACATGAGCTATGGGACAGCCTTTGACTTTAAACCCTTGTTAGTCCAGGGCATTTAAAGACTGAGCTAATGTTGAACTCTGGCTTCTTCACTAATTTGCAGCAGTGATCTAGAGACGTCTGTAAACTATACACTGGTGGCTCTGATGTCTCCCACCAGGACAGTGCAAGAGAAACAAAGTGGACACAAACCACGGAGGCTCCTCGCAGGCACGTGCTGAGTAGCAGTTCTGCCCGCCTCTTCTTATTAAAGCCACTATCTGGGAAGATGCAAAATGCTAAGAAAAGTATTTTTTCTTGTTCAAAACCAAAATCATACAGCCCCTCTTGGGGAGGTTGGCATGGACAACATGTGCCTATGGTTTCTCAGCCTTTCAACTTCCCTTGTCGCGGGGCTGGAGAGATGGCTTAGTGGTTAAGAGCATTGCCTGCTCTTCCAAAGGTCCTGAGTTCAATTCCCAGCAACCACATGGTGGCTCACAACCATCTGTAATGAGATCTGGTACCCTCTTCTGGCCTGCAGGTGTACACGCAGACAGAATATTGTATACATAATAAATAAACTTCCCTTGTTGCCCAAAACCAAGGAAAACCGCAGGCAGGAGCACCACCGAAAGCCTTGCACACCAGAGGACTAACTTTCTAATAAAGGGGCACACTAGGAATATCTGGAAGGTGCTTTCCAAATTCCTGCTCTCCAAAATTGGGCTGGGAAGCTGTGGCACAGAGACCTCGAGCGCTGGAGAGAGAGGTGCATGCAGTCAAATCATGGCTGCTGATGGTGATGGCAACTTTCCTGGGGGTTGTGGTTGTTCTCGGCAACCTCCTTCCGGCAGTTCTTACCCGACTGTGCTGGAAGTGAGAGCCCACACCGATTCCAGAGGGAGAGCCTGGTGAGGGAACTGGGGATGAGTTGGGAGAGGAATGGAGGTTCCCAGTCATTAAGATGCCAATGTCATTGTCCATATCATCTGGGAATGGAAGGTCTACAAACATATCATCTAGAGGGGAAGAAAACACAGAAAAGTTAAAAAGGAACCATACTCCACCTCATGCTCTGCTCCTCTTCAACCGCTTCAGGCTACTGCAATACCTAACGGCTGCCTGCTATGAGCTGTCTTTTTGTTCTCGCCAGTGACTTCCTAGCCAAGTAAAAACAGTGGAGAAACCACAACCATGGAGAAAGCCCCCAACTCCTTACAGCTCCAAAGACAAATAAAAAGATGAAAGACAGCTTAAGAGGCAGCTCGGTTGTTGCAAAGTCAATGCTGGCACCATTCAGCAGCAAGCAGACTCTAGCTAGGTCTATGATCAGTACCTACAGGGCTGGAAGGCTGACTTCAGCAAAACAGGTAGGAGCCTGCCATGACATGGGATGAGATCAAAGCAGATCAAAGCAGTGTTCCTTAGAGGATGCTTTACCTCTCACACTGCAAAATGAGGGTACACTTGCAGGAAATTTGGACAGGAAAATGTCAAGGTAAACCATCACCAAATGCCCAGATAACATGGAATCTTGCCACCAGCCCTTCCATTCCCATAGGACTGGGACTTCAATGAGGCTGTCACAGGTACATTTTGGTATCCTTTCCCTCTCCACTTAACATGAATAAACATTGGTAGATGTTAAAAATTCAAAAACAGCACAAATAGATGCATGAAAGAGCATTTTACAAAAAAATATGACTATTTTCAATCCTATAAAAATATTCAAATAGAATTCCATTAAGAATGATCAGCTTTGGAGCTACTCTCCAGTAAACTGCATCCCTTGGTGAGCTAGGAAGCCTGCATCTTCACACAGCCAAGCCCTCCACAATCAGATCAGAAGAGCTCCGCACTGCAGGGACAGTGACTGGTGGGGGACAAGAGCAGATAGAAAGCAGGTTAAGTTAATCACCCATGTTCTCTCGTCTTGATGACTAATTCTGACTATCAACCTAACTGAGTTGCTGAGAAACAGAGTTTCCTGTGAGCATTACTAAGGAAGGACTAACTGGTGGAAGGGCCACCTTGAACACAGGCAATGCCAACTGTGGGTGGAGGCCCAGATGCAGAAAGTAGGAAGGAGAGCAAGAGCGGCTCCCCAAAGCCAGATGTGCTGCCAGGGTTGCCACAGCTTCATTGCCGTGGTCTGAAAGCAGGAACCAAACCAATCTTTCACTTAGGGATTTGCAGAGACACGAAGGCACTAACAAGATGATACCGCAGAGCAGTTCGCCCAGGCGGTTCTTAGACTTTGCATCTCCTCTCCATGGTTTCTACCACGCAGCAGCCAGCACTCCACACTCACTCTGTCTGCTACTGCACGTTCCACTCACCATTGTTGGGGCTAAACCCGTCTTCATTGGGGTAGTTGGCGGGAGCCACTTGGATGGTGGACGATGTTGGGAACACCAAGATATGGGTGCAGGAAGCATCCTGAGGTGTGTTCAGCTGAGACGACTGCATGTTCAGCGCAGTGCTTCGGCCAAACACGGAGCCCATTGTGACGGCATCTTTAAAGACCAGAGCTGTGTCAGTATGCTCTGCAGACCAACAGCCACAGAAGGAGACTCTCACCTGACACAGAAGCCTCAGTGTTCAAGCTCAGAAGATAAAGGTTGCCCCAGTTCCTTAAGGATCTTTAGAGAACCGACAGAGAACACCAGAGATGATGGCCTGACCTCACCTCACACTGGAGATGTGAAGATAAACCCAGACAGAGTCCACCAAATATTTTGTAGATTACTTACCTAAGAAGTAAATTAAAACCCTAAAACTAACCTCCCAGCATCGTTTCCATCTGTGGTCTCTCAATTTATAAAAGCACCTTTCTAATAACATCAACTAATGCTCTGACTAACTCTATGCAGTGCCTACCATACACTGGCCTGCGCTAAGCTCCATCCATGTGCCTCACTGGGTCAGCACACCCACCCTCAAGTAGCAGTAATCGTCTCTACTTTATAAATGAGGACAGAATCATCTAAAAAGCATGTAAACTTCTGGGGTTAGTGATGGCTACCAAGGTGACCTGAGGCCTAAGGAGCACAGTCAGCCACTGTCCTGCACTGAAGCCTGTCCTCAGTCAATCTCCTGACTTCCCACAGGATCAAAAACACACCTTATCTGAAATACACAACAGACCTAACCATGCAGAAGTGCTTAGGGGCGGTCAGAAAACAGCCGTTAGCCACATTTATGAAGCTTGTGTGGCCAATGTCCTGGCTGACACTGAGAGTTTGCTTATGTCTGACCCTGTGCTAAATGTTCTTGTCTTTTCTCCACTACTCACCCTCAACAAGAGCAGAGAGACTAAACCCCTTTTTGAGGTACCACACTGATCTAGAAGCTTTCTGGAGGTGAAATCCCTAGGGATCCAAGAGACTGGATAGTGGTACTAGTCGTGGATTTCCTTGTCACTCCTACCCAGGTTTCACCTCTCTCCCAAGCTGTGGTCAACAACAATAATTAAGTCCTCCCTAGGCAGGCATCAGATGGTCCCATTTTCTAGGTCAAAAACCGAACTCCTCTCAGAGACGCAATGCTTATGAATTACATTTATCTGTGGATTTAAGTCTGAAAGGCCCAGACTGATAAAATCCCTACTCGATCTTAACTAACAAGAGACCATTTACCTGGCATCACAACAAAGGACCCCTGGGGCTCCATGGCAACCAGGCAGGCACTAAGGATAGAAGGAGAGTCTGCAGCGGAGATCCCACACATCCGGCACACATCCTTGAGCTGTTTGCTGATTGTCTGTAGTGAACATTCTCCAAGGAGGATACTCCAGTCTGAAGTCAGAGATTATAAACACAGTCTTTAGAAGTTCATATGGTGGTGTTTTAGACATTGGTCAGTTCTGATTGGAAATGTCACTGTTGTGACCCAGCCCTAAAGGGAGTGGAGTTTTCCGTTTGGTGCCCTTCTTTTACCTGGCTTCTACCTTACTGTGTTACGCAGAAACGAAGGCCTGTTTTCTAGAGGTTGCCATCCTGTCTAGAGTGCCCTTTGAGGGCCTACAACAGACCCTGGCAGATTTAAGTTCTAAAATTCTTTGGATGCTGAGGTCTCTCTTGACTGTGCTAGCCTGTGCTAGTCACTCTTTTCTCAGGATCTGATTCTTTCACTACCCCATCAGCACTTCCCTCTGATACCTGCCCGCTGCCCTACATTGAAGCACTGTGTCTCCTCTGAGCACACGGCGCCCAGCACAGGCATCTATCTCTACAGTCACAGTTTTTCCTCCCGGGAGAGTGCAGGGCAGTATGTTTTATGTTTCTAATGAAATTCACGCTAAGTGGGGAAGAGAACAGTGGCTGAGAACATGAAGAAAATGCCTTAAAATGGTAGGCTCCAGACAGGCCTGGGCGCCACGACACATCAGGAAGACTCTGCTCTTTCTGACAAGCGCTGGCAGCTAAACAGCAGACACTAAGGTTACCTGGAAGCTGCTGTGTGACTTCACGCAGACCATGGTCCCCAAAGGAGGAGCCTCGGGGCAGCAGGGAGGTGACTATGCACTTCCTCTGTCCATCATGGTTCCTCCAGCCACACTCGGGCTCTCCCCGTTAAGGGGCGAGGAAGGAGAATATGCGCCTTCCCACAATCATACACGGAGAGGGTCTTAATCATTTTCTAAAGTGCCAAGCAACAAACAACACGTTCATCCCCTGCTTCTTTTCTATTATTCCCTCCCCTTCCCAAGGGTTATGAATAACTGAAAGCTTTTAAGAAAGAAGACTGACTAAGAGGCAGACCAGGGAGGAAGAGAAGCAATCAGACAGAAATGAAGGGTGGAATCCCCTAGTGTATTAAGCTCCAGGCTACTGACACCAGACTCATTCTAAGGAGATGCTGCTTAAAAAAAATGAAAAGGGCCCCATTTTCTCCCAATTCACAACATCAAATGTGACTTGAAGACACGCCCCCTTCCTCCCCACCCCAGCCACTGGCACACACTGCGGTGTCTGTACACATGTCTGTGAGGCTGAAACCCTGACTGTACACCTGCCTTACAAGCAGCAGCTTTATGGGCTCTGTCTCTCTCAGTGGCTTAATTCCAGGGATTCCATGGTACCTGACTGACTCTAACACAGGGGCTGGTATGAACTACAGTTTAGGGGCAAATCCTGCTGCCACCTGTTTTTGTAATAGAATTCTGTTCACAGAAAGCCATTCATGTAGGTATTTGTCTTATGTTGTTCATAATGTCAAAACTGAAGAGCTGCAAAATGCTCACTCGCTTTGCAAAAAGAAATTGTATTCTCAGGCACTTGGCCAGGACACTGTCCACTCTACTCTGGTAATCACAGACTACTTTGTGATGCATGTCTTCTTCAATCAACTCTATTTTTTGATATTATAATAATTATTTTCTTCTTCCCTCTCCTACCACTAAACCCTTCCATATATGCCTCCTTGCTCTCTTTCAAATTCATGCTCTTTTTATTCTTAGTTGTTGTTACATGCATCTGTGTATATTATATACATAATAATTCTAAATATAATCTGCTCTGCCTGTACAATATTACTCATATGTGTGTTTTCTGAGCTGATCATTTGGTAGTGGACAGTCAATTGATGTGCTCTTCCCTAGGGAAGACTATTCTCCACTTCCACCATCCCTGGGTTGATTGTGGTTCTCTGTCCCCAATGACTTCAGCATGTCTACTGCCATTGTCCTTGCTCAGCTAACGTTGAGGCAGTAATATTGATGAAGTTTTAGTCTGCACAAACAATTCCTGCACCTATGGCTCAGGGAACATTGGAAGAAGGGGGTGGAAAACTTGTAAGAGCCAGAGGACTGGAAAGTCTGTGGTGACAGTGTCTCCTAGGAATGTCAGAAGCTGCACCCACATGTAAGGAACATGCTGGAGAACCAATCTGGGCCCTCACACTTACACAGCAAGCCTTTGACACACTGAGCCATCTCCCCAGCCATAAAGGGTATTCTTACCTATGACCTACACTCTCTATTGTCTTATTCTTTTTACTGTATTAATATACAATATTATTAAAATTAAACTATCATTTTGTACTAATGAAACATGTTTCCTGTTTTACATTTCAAATATTATTTGCGTAAGTAATGGGGACTACAGAGAAACTTTTAAATCCCTGGTTTCTCCCTTTTGTCATCACAGTTGGTCTTTGGGGCAACTTTAAGGCCCTGCTTCGCCCAGCTACCATCATCAGGTGAGTCTCCTCTGTCCCTGCACCTGCTTCAAGGACTGCTCACCTTTAAGCTCCCCATGGCCAAGACGCCCCAAGCGGCCGATGACCACTCTCCAGGGCAGAGATGTCATCTGGACAATCCCCAAGCACCATTCCCATAATTTCTGCAGCCCAATCTTACGCGCAGACACTTTACTCTTCCGTGACCTGAAAGAGAGAGAAACAGGAAGGGTCCTACACAAATCAGTTGTCACTCAGTAAGACACACGGTTCATTTCTAAAGCGCACATCCATGCCCTCCCCACAGAGCTAACAGAGTGAACACAAATAGCAAGGCTTCTCACCTGTTTGGTAAAGCAATGTTTACAACACAGGTCTCCAGTAATTCCCCATGGAGGTCAGTGCAGGATGCCAAGAGCCAGCGCTGGTCATGAGACAGACAATAGCCCACAAAGAGTACATTGTATTTCTGGGTCGCCTCACCAAAAGTCTCTCCTGGCTCTGTCTGCTTGTCTTTGATTGGGGCCAATATAAAGGGAGGGGAATAAAGCTGGATTGGGCTGGGCCGCTGAAATAAGAATCAAATTCAGTATCAGCACAAGGCCTACCAAGACAGCATTTACAATAAAAACCCAGAGCAACAATGAGGGAGGAGAACAAGGAGTAATGACAACAGGCGGCTCCCACCATCCTCTCTCCAGGAATCTAGCAATGATGACACCGACAGCAAAAGTATTAATCAAATTCATGAACTATGGTTTAAAACACCTGTCTAGTAAATGTTATAAGCCATTAATATTTGGTTTAAAGAAACTGCTGCATTAGAAAGTAAGCTTGCCCAATGTCAACAGGCAATAGGAAAGATTAACTCAAGCACAGTGAGATCCATCAGATACAGCCCCAGGAGGGTCTGGAGTCACAGGCAGCAAACTTGAAGGATTCGTAAGATGCAGAGCTATGGCTCTAGGCTGGGAGGTGGGAGAGGTGCTCTGGCTCATACTGTAGCAGCAGATGGCTCTGCCTCCAAAACTCACCTCCGGGTTCTTGAGCGTCATTTCAATGCTGGCTGCAGGCCCAAAGCCCGTGAGGGATTTAATGTGGATCTGTGTAGGCAGAGGCCGCCTGCACTGGCAGTACACTGAAAACGCCATGGATTTCAAGTATTGAATATAGAAAACATGTTCATCCTTCATTGTCTGCAGCATGTACTGGCAAGGCACAATCTACAAGATGCAAGCAATAGTCACTTCAAAACTCCACAAACCAGACAGCTGGAAGATGAGACGGCATGGATTTATGGCTAGAGAGGAGAGAGGGACCCTTAAATCTATACCATGTAGATATCAAATATGAATTCCTCCCAATGAAATAAAAGCTGTACCTCAAATGTCCACCAGTCATTTGAGAAGGGTAGTACCAATGTGCCAGTTTCCTTGAGAGCTGTTCTGCCCCACTGTGGGTACAAATTCTCAACCTCCTGTCCCATGGCCCTCATACTTAAAACTTGCATTTTAATGTATGCTCCATTTGTAGAGTATCTGACATAGTATGCGGCAGTAGTATCTAATCATGTGGAACTCAGACTTTGAGACAATGAAAAACTATCAGCCAATCTCTTCTGTTCACTTTAACTTAAATCCTTTCATCCAAAAAGACAGCTTTCAATAAAATGATGAGGCATTTCAGCTGTACAAAAAAATTTAAAAATCACTTCATTTCAAAGCTAGCCAAGGCACAGGGAAACAGGCACACTCACTCACTACTGAGAAACAAGAACAAGCTTTCTGGAAAGTGACATTCATCACTGTCCACATGTGAGCATCCACTTTTAAACAATGCACCAGCATGTTCACTAGCTTCGCTTACACCACTGGAAAAAGGGAGTGCACATGAAATGCTGACCTATATGAGAAGGGCCAAACATGTAACATATGCTGAGCTATGTGGTACAGGCCCACAGTCTCAGTATTGGAGAGGTTGGGGCACTGGAAGCTGGAGACTAGCCTCAGCGCTACAGTGAGACCTGTCTCAAGATAAGAAAGTGTTTCTTATGACAAATGGCACTGGAAAAGTATTCGTGTGTTAACCGGGAAAAGAACCCTGACACTGTAATGATGAGATTGAGACAAGGGCAGAAACACACTAGGATGGAAATGATAACTGAACCCAAAAGACAGAGCCCTGAAGGAGCACAGTTCCTGCCAAGGCTCATAACTTGGAACTCAAAGGACTGAGAATTCCGTCTCACAGAAACAGCAGCATAGAGGACAAGTCGTGGGCAGCAACCTGGAGAATGAACGAGCTTCTCATGTGCTCGGGTAAGTGATCCAGCATCTCCGTGTAGCAGCGCATCAAGCTCAACAGCCAGAAGTTTCCGGAGCTGGAGTCCTCCTCTGCGGTGTATGTGAAGGGGTCCACCATGTAAATCACGACAGCCGGAGGGTAGGCGTGGCTGTCTGCAGAGTCGGGCTCAGTGGGGATTCCTATCCTCTCCCGCTCTGTAACACTGGAGAGAGAGAGTCAGGTGTGAGGCTCTCACAGCAAAGACAAACTCCATCAAACAAATCAATTACAGAGCACACTGACTCCCCAGGCAGCGATTTCAGATTCAATACAACAGTGGGGGTGGGGGTTACACATCAGGTCCAACATCTTCAAGACAAGACGGAAAACAGCAGTACAAAAACACAAAGCTGCTGTGATGCCCAGAATCTTTTAGAGCCTGGGCATGGATTTCAGGTGAGGGATACAGCTACTAGAGCCTATACACATATCCCCGAACTCAGAACTCTTCAAACGTGTCTGGTCCCGAGCACTTCAGAGCAGGCATACTGAGTCCAAGCTACTCTAAAATGGGAGCTTTCTTCTTCTACTCCTTTGTTTTCTGTATTAATGTTGCACACGAAAATTTTATAACAATACTAGCTAATGAACGCAATAATAAGCGTGTTAATTAGAAGTTCCAGCTTGCTGAGCGGTGCTGGCACACACCTTTAATCCTAGCACTCAGGAGGCAGTGGTGGGGATCTCTGTGAGTTCAAGGCCAGACTGATTTACACAGCAAGTTCCAGGACAGCCAGAGCTACACAGAGAAACCCTGTCTTGAATCCCCCCGCCCCCCCCAAAAGTCCCAGCTCTTCATGTACCCATAGATCAACCAGTGTCACTTTTAATTAGCAAGAATGAAAGGAGCGCTCTACTGGATTTTGAGGCTCTTGAAGTATGTGTGTGAGGGGTGGAGGTGGAGGGAGGTGTCTCGGTTGGGGAGAAACAAACACACCTGTCTTGTCCATCCTGTGAAAGCTGGGCAGAGCTCTGCCCAGGCTCAGTGTCTCCGCAAGCCACATTCCCTGGAGGTCGATCTGTGGAGCTGCCCCCAGCACTGGGGTTCTGCCCTCCAATGCCACCACTGAATCCTGAAGAAGAGGTAGTGCTCATCTGAGGGATGCCTGAAGCAGAGGCAGTCGAGGAGCCTGGAAGCCCAGAGGAGGCAGATGAACTACTTGCTGCAGGGTTTGCAGAGCTGTTGGAGGTGGGGTTGAATGCACTGCCAGCTGGGGGTGCTACTGAGCCTGAATTTGAAGGTAAAGACCCAGTATTCCCAGGTGTGGCTTGTCCCTGTGCTTCTGCTGGTGGACTGTGGTGCTTAGGTGGCATCAGCAGGCCACTGTCGAGCTGCAGAGTGGCTAAATAAGGTGCTGGAGGAAGACAAAAATGATTAGTGACCCTCAGTAGTGTCACCCTGAATACTGTCATCATGTTAAAATATAGACTCCATGCTTGCTCATGGCTAAACCTGGCTTATTGGAAGAGAGAGGAAAGAAATCACTCATAACAAGTCTCTGATGTCACTTAGAACTGGACCTCTTAGCTGTGCATGTGTCCCACGGATATGCACCCCACAGTCACACAGTGCTCCACAGATATGTGCCCCACAGTCACACAGTGCTTTATAGATATACTGTTTCACAAGCTCTGAAAGATATCTTCAAGCTTAAGCAGCTAATACCAAGTAATGCAGCAGTTCTCAAAATGCCTATAAACACATATAACCCCAGTAGGCGACTTCAAAGAATATACACCACATAAAAATCAGGATTTAGTCAGGCATGGTGGCCCAGGCTTTAATGCCAACACTCAGAAGGTAGAGGCAGGTCTATATCACAAGTTCTAGGTGAACCAGAGCTGGACAGAGAGACCCTACCCAGAACACATCAAACTTCAAGAGTCAAGAAACGGATTGCTGGACTTGCAGGAGTGGGGAAGGGAAAGAACTGCCTTACTTTATCTCACCAACTCTCCTGTGCCAAACACTTGCCCATTTACCTAGGTGATGGCGGCAAACTTGAGCATAAAGTTTGAGTCTGGAATGATTGTCATTCTCCTCACTGCTCCAAGGCTGATTAAACCACTCGCTCACAAGCTCCTCCGTCAGCTTCTGGGCCACAGTCTTCCCCACGCGCATGATCCCGTCGCGGAGCACTTTGCAGATGGGCTTGTGCTGCCCCAGCCGACACATCTGGAAGCACATAAGACGATCTCTGACAACAGCCACCATTCATGCCAGCAAACCAGCAATAGCAGCAGGCCTTCCCTGGCAGACATCTTGTCCCCTGACACTGCTCTGTCCTTCCGACCCTGGTGAGATCTTCTAACTAGGCAGAGCTGCTGCTGCACATGCATACTGGCGGTCTAAGAGTCAGAGTGGAGATGCCTCTCTCCAGGATACTCATGGAGGAGGGATTTCACAGAATCAACTATGAGGAGGGAGTTTTCTACTTGGCTGGAATGTATCCCTTAGAGCTGCTGAGGTGAGGAAAGCTCACCGCGCTGGTTAGTTTGGACACAAACCTAGACATGTCTGGGAAGAGGGAATGTCAATAGAGGAACTACCTCCATCAGATTGGCCTGTGGGGCATTTTCTTGATTAATGACGGGTATGTGAGAGCCAAGCTTACTGTGAAGGTTGCATAAAAACCACAGCTGAGCAAGCCAGAGAAAGTGAACCAGCAAATGCCATTCTTCACTGCTATCTGCTTCGCGTCCTGCCTCTTGGTTTCTGCCCTGACTTCCCTCCAGGATGGACTGTAACCTGTAAGCTGAAATAAACCCCTTTCCTCCCTGGGTTGCTTTTGGTTAGTGTTTTATCACAGCAACAGAAGGCAGACTAGGAGCTGAGCAGTCCAACCTGCCCAGAGTACCCTCCACGAGCAGCTCCTCAAGAGGAGCAGTGGCACACGCACACCTAAACAGATAAACAGACCCAGCGAGCTGCAAACTTTGGAATCGGCTGGAGGGTCATCCAAGCTACCTGTGATAGCTTAATTCTGACTTTATAGTGCTTTACACGCACAGACAAGGCAAGGGTCAAAGGTGACATATCCAAGAATTTCTTCTGTGTCTTAACAGATACCAATGCGTTGTAAGCTGGCATCTCCTGTTCACCACTAGCCCATGTTCACCGAGACACTTAAAGACAGCAAATCCTGTTCTAGATCACATTTGAAGTCAGCTGGGTATCTTATTTACAAACACTTCCCCAGTGCTCACAGGTGCTTGCCAGCATTCTAAGCACTTTAGGAAATACTGGTTTCATTTCATGCTGCCAACACACAGACACTGGGACTACAGGTACAAGGCGTTTGCACTTCAGCAGAAAACATACATGTACCTGCCATTCCAAGATCCAGGAGTCAAATTTCAGGACTAAAGTAATTTATATACTAAAGATGCAAAACTATGATCCTGAGTTTCATATTAATAGGGTTACTATATTTTTAATCTATATAAAAAATTAGGATAAATATAGTAATAAACTCAACAGAAGCATGAGCCATTAAAATTATCCTTCAATTCAGACATTTTCAAGGTAAATGCTTTGGTACTACTCTCAGGAATTCTCAGAGCTAAAACATAAGCACGAAGCGTGTGCATGCCTTCTGTGTTTAAAGCCCTCCCTCCCCAGTCAACACATGCCTGCTGACTCTGAGCTGGCAAATGGAAACCCTTGGATGGGATTTTAGGTGTGTGGTGAGGCTGGCATTCTCAATCTAGTAAAAACAAAGCCTTGGGGAAGTGCTGCTCTTCCAGAAAGCAAAACAAAGACAGAAAAACAACAGTTCAACTCTACATTTCATCCCTACTTACAAGCACTCTTTGAAATCTACCTCCAGGTTCATTCCTTCAGTTACAACCAGATGCAGGCCTCACATCAAGGAGGTCGCCACCATTAACTTGCTCACCTCATATACAGCACTCAAGTCCCTGAAGAAAGTTTTGGCTCCTTCGAGCAAGGCCTCATTTTCTGGACACACCACAATATAAGCAACATCACGATGGCCCCCATAAGGCTCCAAGAGCAGCTTCTCCCAGAAGGGCAAGGAGAAGGGTGAGATGGTCAGGAATTCCTTGTCGTAGCCCACCAGCAGAGTGGGGATGGGCAGGGGCTCAGGAGACTCTTCTGAACCTGGAATGACATTGCTATTTAGGATACTAGGCAGTGTGGCAGTCCCTGATGTTCTGATGGTATGCCTGAGCCATGGGGGCCTTTTCCATGAGCTGAGGTGCTCCTGCAATCAGCCCACTAAATGGGCTCCAATGAAGAGTCTCACAAGAGTCAGAACATCTTAGAAAGATCCAAGGAGAGCAGAGGCAGAAGGCAGGAAGCCAGGTTTACTCTGCCGGCAGCACTGCTTCAGTGAGCTTCAGCACAGCACAGGGGCCTTGCCATAGAGTAGGAGGAGAGCAAATGCATAAGCCCAGATCAGCAGACACTGTGGCTGAGGCAGAATTCCTTTAGGGAACCTAAGTGTGACTGAGGAAGAGGCTACTCATGACCAGGGAGGCCAGGTCTTGCAACAACCAGAGCACAGAAGCAAAAAGGAAATTAGAAGTCAAGACTCACCATAGGTCCCACGTCCTGCCATCTTATGGAACTGCTGCCAGGTGAGCGGTCCCTGAACATGCTGGATGTTCTCCCAGGTCCTGCCTGTGCGCTTCTTCTGGATAGCATCCTGTAGAAAGGGTTGCAGGGACAGCAGCATACGTACCACATCTTGGGATGATAGCATGCTTGTATCCAGCACTGTGGGAGGGGAGAAGAACAAAGAACAAGGATGTAGGGGTGGCACTCTCCCTCCTAGATGACATTCTGAGTCTCTGTTACAGGAGATCGACAACCTTGGAGTCAAGAGAAAGGGCTTTCCAAATAAAGAAAATAACTGGCAACTTGTTAACAAGAATAATGAGGGAAGTGGACTACACTACATAGACGATTCAACAGAAAAACTGTATAAAAAAGTAAGAAGAGAAGTCTCACTTGTTTCACATAAACCTGTTTCCCAGATCTTTCACAAGACACAGAGGTACAAAGGTGCCTTAGTCACCACGTTCCTTTCTTTTTGGAGGTAGAGGTTCAAGACAGGGTTTCCTGTAGCTTTGGAGCCTGTCCTGGAACTCACTCTGTAGACCATGCTGGCCTCGAACTCACAGAGATCCACCTGCCTCTGCCTTCCAAGTGCTGTGATTAAAGGCGTGTGCCACCACCGCCTGGCATATCATGTTCCTTTCATTTACACATGTTGATGTTTTGAGGATGTGGGGACAAAAAGACAAGACCCTGACAACCTTGTAAAATTTCCTTATAAAACACCGAATGCGTAAAGAGAAAGGACCTTTGCCATGGCACCCAAAGGACATCTGCACCCAGACAGGCAGGACAGCAATGCTCATGGCCTAAGAGATATACCCTTCCACTGACAGTGGGTCCTGAGCCACAGAGCAATGTACAGCTGTGTGTCCCCATGTGGGTGTGGCTGATGCTTCTGTGCCAGAGAAGGACCCACAACCTTCCTCAGTCTTGGAAAGATGAGACTGTGACTCCAAAGGGCAGGGGCTTCATGCTACCCTCTGGCTGATTAAAAAAGAGGCCGGGCAGTAATCTAAGATGTAGCTACCAACTAAATTAGAGACCAGAGGCTCTCACGAGTCTTAGAGCATTTATAGGTGTGTTTGCGGCTTTGCACTGGTCATCCAACAGAGTTTTGTTTGGTTTCTTAATTTTGGAATAAATAAATCTAGAAAATTCCATAAATAAACATGGATGCCCAGTGTTTCCTAAAAACCGAAAGATCTGGCAAAGCAGAGGCGAGAGCCTTGTGAGCTGGCACAGCCATAGCAGTAGCAGCAGCGCCTCAGGACTTCTGCTTGCTGGTGATCTGTTCGAGACTGAAGCAGCACGAATCGCCTTCAACTTTACACTTTTTTCTCTTTCACTCACAGTAAAGAATCACAGCGAAGCACTTCCTCCATCTGAGCCTCCACCAAAAGTGGGCAATGAATGACCAGGAGCAGCCCAGATTCAAGGCCACAGAAGCAAACACTGTCTGGATGTACAGGGTTGGTGTTTTGAAAAGATCCAGTCCAAGGCATCATTTTCTGAAAGTCTGTCTCCTGCCTTACTCATCTGCAGCAAACTGGCTACTTTGAATCATTTTAGCACCCCAGACTTGCTCTGAAGTAAGAAAAGCAATTCCTCACACAGAAGGCTACGGCTGATCCAAGACCCTGTGGCTACTGTTTGGACAGGCACCCCTTATCCTCCCCCTATTCCACCCGACCCCTAAGTTTATCACCCAGCACTTTATATCTTTACTTCTTAAATTCATTCAGTAGATATTAATTGAGGGCCTAACAAGCCAGAGCCAGTGAGTCTGAAGGCAGGTAGTTATAAAAACGAGAGCTCTTGAGGCTCCATTTCCAGGAAGCAAGCCTTGCCTCTCCACTTCCCAGCACACATTGAAAGACCCCCCCCCCCCCCCCGCCCAGCTTGTTAAACAACTTAGCACCGGTAACGCCATTTTACAAGGCTTGTACTGAATATTCAGGGTTTGAACAAAGGGCAGTTTAGAAGCTGCCAAAATGAGATAGAGACACTTGTGGCTGGGCCGGGGGAGGAACGAGGAATACCGAGAATATGGCTGGGTGTCGTCTGCCCCAGGCGGGGAGAAGACACTCTGTCTGCCCTAGATAAGAGCCAAGGCAGCCCATATCTGAATTCTCGGGGACTAGGGACCTTGTCCCGACCTGAACTCGGCCACATTCAAACTGACCAATGAAAACCCTGTAACTATGCTTCTCGCTTCTGTACTGCGCTTTTTGCTCCCCAAAACATATATAAACCCATTACCCCGACCTGGAGGGGTACAAGTCCTCTGAGAGACTTTGTCGCCCCAGGTACCTGTGTATCTGAATAAACCTCTTGCTGTTTGCATCCGTACAAGTGGTCTCGCTGTTCCTTGGGAAGGGTCTCCCCAGAGGAAAGACACTCTTGGAGGGTCTTTCATTTGGGGGCTCGTCCGGGACTTGGAGACCCCCACCCAGGGACCACCGACCCACCACCGGGAGGTAAGCTGGCCAGTGCCCTGTCTGTGTCTGTGTCTATGTCTGTCTGAGTCTTATGTCGTTCTGTCATTCAGTAAGATTCGATAGGGTCTATCAGTATCTGGCGGGCCAGGGAAGGAGCTGACGAGCTCAGACTCCCCCCCCCCCCAGCCCTAGAAGACGTTCTAAGGGTGTCTGGAGCCTTTGGGGCTCAATCCGTAACTGGAGGACACTCCAGTATCCATAGGGGCTAAGAGTGACCAGGTCACTCCTCTAGTTCCCAGGAGGCCTCCATCTGAATCCGTAATGCTGCACAGCTTCTGATTTTGAGTTTGGTTTTGGTTGTTTTGTTTCTTTGTTTTTATGTCCTTTGTTTTTGGTATATCTGTTTGTACTCGAGTCTAAATCTGGTACCATGGGACAATCGTTAACAACACCTTTAAGTCTCACTTTAGATCACTGGCCTGATGTCCGGGACGGAGCAAACAATCAATCGGTCGAAGTGCGAAAGAAAAAAATGGGTGACTGTCTGTTCGTCTGAATGGCCCACATTCATAGCCGCGGGACGGCACTTTTAACCTTGATATCATTTCCTAGGTGAAGGAGCAGATGTTCGACATAGAATCCCCAACCCCCTCACCTATGGCTGGCCGACTGAGGGGCAGACGCGGGCCACCGCCTGATTCCACCTCCCACGCCCTTCCCCTCCGAGAGGGTCCGAATGACCAGCAACAGCACAGGCCATTCTCAGCTTCTGATCTTTACAACTGGAAGCAACTAACTTGATAGAATCTATCCTAGTTACACACCAGCCCACCTGGGACAACTGCCAGCAGCTCTTGCAGGCTCTGTTGACCTTGGAGGAAAAACAAAGAGTCTTTTTGGAGGCGCGGAAGAATGTCCTGGGCCACAATGGACGCCCGACCCAGCTGCCGAACGAGATTGATGCGGCTTTTCCCTTGACCCGCCCTAATTGGGACTTTACCATGGACGCAGGTAGGGGACAGGGGACACCTATGTCTTTACCGCCAGTTGCTCATAGCGGGTCTCCAAGGGGCAGTACACCACCCCACTAATTTGGCTCAGGTAAAGCAAGTGATACAAGGGAATGAGGAGACACCCTCAGCATTTTTAGAAGGCTTAAGGAAGCATATAGAATGTATACCCCTTATGACCCTGAGGAGCCTGGACAGGCCACTAGCATTTCGATGTCTTTCATTTGGCAGTCCAGCCCAGATATCCGAAGCAAGTTGCTGAGATTGGAGGGTCTGCAGGGATATACCTTACAGGATTTACTGAAGGAAGCAGAAAAAATTTTTAACAAAAGGGAAACTCCGGAGGAAAAGAAAGAGATATTATGGCAGAGAATAAAAAAGAATCAGGAGGAAAAAGACATAAAAAGAATAAAGAATTAAACAGGCTGCTGGCCACTGTAGTTCAAGGACAAGATAAACAGGGAGGTAGGCTGGGAGAACGGAAGGGGGCCAAAATGGATATTGACCAATGTGCCTACTGCAAGGAACGAGGCTGCTGGATCAGGGCATTCTCACTCCCTGCCGATTGCCATGGAACCCCACCCCCCTCCTGCCAATAAAAAAAAAAAAAAAAAACGGGGACTGGGGACTATTGGCCAATGCAGGATCTGAGAGAGGTTAACAAAAGGGTGGAGGACATACACCCCACGGTCCCCAACCCTTACAATCTATTTGAGTACTCTGCCACCATCCCATGTTTGGTACACCGTATTGGATTTAAAGGATGCTTTCTTCTGCTTGCGGTTACATCCTGAGAGCCAGTCCCTTTTTGCCGTTGAATGGAAGGACCCAGATCTTGGACTTTTGGGTCAATTGACCTGGAATTTAAGAATAGCCTGACCCTCTTTGATGAGGCCTTACACTGGGACTTGGCAGACTTTCGGGTTCAGTACCCCGCCCTGATATTGCTCCAATATATTGATGACCTCCTTCTGGCGGCCGCCTCGGAAAAAGAATGTCAGGAGGGCACAAAAGCCCTCCTACAGACATTGGGACAATTAGGATATCGGGCATCAGCCAAAAAGTCTCAGATATGTCAGAAACAAGTCATTTACCTAGGTTATCAAATGAGAGATGGACAGAGATGGCTGACCAAGGCGCGCAAACAGACTATTATTAACATCCCTGCCCCCCAGAACCCCCGCCAGCTGCGGGAGTTTCTGGGAACAGCGGGGTTCTGCCGCCTCTGGATCCCAGGATTTGCAGAGATAGCTACACCCCTGTACCCCCTAACCAAGCAGGGGGCAATGTTCAGATGGGAAAAGAAATAGCAAAAGGCTTTTGAGGACAATATCAAAAAGGCTTTACTAACCTCACCCACATTGGGCCTTCTAGACATTACCAAGTCCTTTGAACTGTTTATAGATGAAAAGCGGGGATATGCCAAGGGGGTCCTGACCCAGAGACTGGGCCCCTGGAGGCGTCCTGTGGCCTATCTGTCCAAGAAACTTGACCCAGTAGCTTCTGGATGGCCACCCTGTCTACGGATGGTAGCAGCTATTGCAGTCCTTACCAAGGACACAGGTAAATTGACTCTAGGCCAGCCATTGACCATCCTGGCACCCCATGCAATGGAGGCCTTGGTCAAACAGCCTCCAGACCGCTGGCTTTCCAATGCCCGCATGACTCATTACCAAGCCATGCTCCTGGATGCGGACCGGGTGCAATTTGGACCTGTGGTCACTCTCAATCCCGCAACCTTGCTCCCCTTGCTGGAGGAGGCAGAGCAGCATGATTGCCTCCAGATCCTTGCGGAAATGCACGGGACCAGACCAGACCTGACGGATCACCCTCTTCAGGACGCTGACTACACCTGGCACACCGATGGTAGCAGCTTCCTCAAAAACGGGGAACAGAGAGCGGGGGCAACAGTAACCACAGAAACTGAGGTAATTTGGGCTGAGGCCCTACCAGCAAGCACCTCATCCCAAAGAGCAGAACTCATCGCATTGACCCAGACACTCCAGATGCTCCAGATGGCAGAAGGTAAGAAACTTAATGTCTATATGGACAGTCAATACGCCTTTGCCACTGCCCATATACATGGGGAAATTTACTGAAGGCGAGGGCTCCTGACCTCAAAAAAAAAAAAAATTAAATTATAAATAAGACTAAAATCTTGACACTACTCAAAGCCCTATTTCTGCCCCAAAAACTGAGTATTATGGGCTGTCCTGGCCACCAAAAGGGCCACAGCCCAGAGGCAAAAGAAAATCGATTGGCGGATGCTGCCGCCAAAGAGGCTGCCCTAAAAACAATCAGCACCTCCTGAGCCTTCACTTTGACCGATTCAGAAAATACAAGGCTGTTCTGATGTCCACTGCCCTAAAGTCAAGAGGACACCAACCTCCTAAAGAAAATGGGGGCCACCTATGACCCCAAAGAGTAACATTGGGTCTTCAAGGAAAAGACTGTTATGCCAATGAGAAACCTTACTGGAACGACAGGAAACTGGCCCCTACCTCCTAAACAGAGATGGGGCCCTACAAAAGGTAACTGATAAAAATAAAGCCTGTGCTCAAGTAAATGCAGGTAAGACTAAGCTTGGGCCAGGGGTCCGGGTACGGGGGCATCGCCCCGGAACTCATTGGGAAATTGACTTCACCGAAATAAGACCTGGACAATATGGATACAAATACCTATTGGTATTCATGGACACCTTTTCAGGATGGATGGAAGCCTTTCCCACCAAGCACGAGACTGCTAAGGTTGTAACTAAAAAGCTCTTAAAAGAAATCTTTCCCAGGTATGGCATGCCCCAGGTATTGGACACTGATAATGGACCTGCTTTCATCTCCCAGGTAAGTCAGTTGGTAGCCAAGCTATTGGGGATTGATTGGAAATTACATTGTGCATACCGACCCCAAAGTTCAGGGCAGGTATAACGGATAAATAGAACCATCAAGGAGACTTTGACCAAATTAACGCTTGCAACTGGCTCTAGAGACTGGGGGCTCCTCTTTCCCCCAGTCCTCTACTGGGCCCGGAACACGCCGGGCCCTCATGGACTCACCCCATTTGAGATACTATATGGGACACCTCGACCATTCATTAATTTCTTTGACTCTAATATTGCTGATTTTGCTAACAGCCCTTCTCTGGAAGCTCATTTACAGGCACTGCAGATTGTCAAGAGAGGTCTGGAGGCCATTAGCTGCAGCCTATCGGGAACAACTGGACAAACTGGTGGTACCACATCCCTTCCAGATAGGAGACACTGTCTGGGTCCACAGACATCAGACCAAAAACCTAGAACCCCGCTGAAAGGGACCATACACCGTACTGCTGACCACCCCCACGGCGCTGAAAGTTGACGGCATCGCCGCCTGGGTCCACGCCTCCCACGTCAAGGCAGCCCATCACCCTGAGGAGAAGGAGCCAACTGTGACCCCACCATGGAGAATCCAGCGCACCCAAAACCCGTTAAAACTAAGACTCACCTGTGGAGCCCCTTGATTACTCTCTGGGACCTGCTAGGACTGGTAGGGACCACCCTAGGGGGGGAGCCCACACCAGACATATTCCTTAAAATGGCAAGTCCTGTCCCCAAGTGGAGAGATTGTTTGGGAAATTCAGGACAACCATGCACTTAACACTTGGTGGCCTACTCTCACACCCGATTTTTGCCAGTTAGCTGCAGGATCAAATGACTGGGACCTAGAGATTCCCGAATCCACTTAAAACAATTGAATGGAAGATTCCATTCAAAGTCATAAGAGAAATGGGGGAATGAAAGACCCCCCCCCCCCACCCAGCTTGTTAAACAACTTAGCACCGGTAACGCCATTTTACAAGGCTTGTACTGAATATTCAGGGTTTGAACAAAGGGCAGTTTAGAAGCTGCCAAAACGAGATAGAGACACCTGTGGCTGGGCCGGGGGAGGAACGAGGAATACAGAGAATATGGCTGGGTGTCGTCTGCCCCAGGCGGGGAGAAGACACTCTGTCTGCCCTAGATAAGAGCCAAGGCAGCCCATATCTGAATTCTCGGGGACTAGGGACCTTGTCCCGACCTGAACTCGGCCACATTCAAACTGACCAATGAAAACCCTGTAACTATGCTTCTCGCTTCTGTACCGCGCTTTTTGCTCCCCAAAACATATATAAACCCATTACCCCGACCTGGAGGGGTACAAGTCCTCTGAGAGACTTTGTCGCCCCAGGTACCTGTGTATCTGAATAAACCTCTTGCTGTTTGCATCCGTACAAGTGGTCTCGCTGTTCCTTGGGAAGGGTCTCCCCAGAGGAAAGACACTCTTGGAGGGTCTTTCAACATGTCCCTATCTCACTGCTCTCTAGTCAGTCTGTATGTAGGAGACAGCTATGTCCCTCACTCCTACAACACCAAGAGTTATCCAAAGGCAGTGCATTAATTCTCCATCCCCACCCTCCCTCTGCTCTGGTGTGCTCAGAGGCCACAGTTCATCACTGTGGTATCACCAGTCACATTTTGGAGTGCTGGTTGGCTCCCGCCCCCACGCCTCTCCAGACACACTCTGCCCACTGCTCAGGGCTCCTGTGCACCTGGTTCCAGTCATCACCACAGGCCAACAATGGTCTTCTGGACTTCAGCTCCAAGTCTTGACACTTCCACCCAGACTACTCACAAGGAATCCTTAAAGCTGCATTCATGGCTGCTTTCCCTAGGCTGGCCCTCTTTCAGCGCCCAACCCCAGGAACCCTCATGAGCACCTGCCATGCTTAGCCCCACTCTGCTTGTCCTATACTACTACTCCCCACACAGGTCTGAAATGTGCCTAATTCTTTCCTAAAGCAAGTTATTATGTATTTTCTCTTTTTTTCTGTAACTATTTCTTTTATTAAACTATTTTAAAGTTGGGCTGGAGAGATGGCTCAGAACTTAAGAGCATTTGTTCTTGCAGAGGACTGGGACTCAAGTCCCAGTAATGACATGGTGGCTCACAGTTGTCTGTAACTACAGCTCCAGGGGATCCAGCATCCTCTTCTGACCTCTGTGAGCACCAGGCATGGACATGGTGCACAGATAAACATGCAGGCAAAATGTGCATACATATAAATCTAATTGAAAAAAGGATCTATTATGTGCATGCATGTGTGTCTATATGTGGGTACCAGCTAAAAAGGGTAGGTGCCCAGAGGGGGTGGATGAAGGCATCAGATTCCCTGGAGCTAAAGTTATAGGTATTTGTGGGTACCTTTATGTGGGTGCTAAGAACTCAACTCAGGCCCTTTACTCGGGGAGCACAGGCTCTCCCTCTCCCCACTTTTCTGCGGCAGGGTCTCACTATATAGCCTTGGCTAGCCTAGAACTTGCTATGTAGACTAGACTGGCCTAAAATTCACAGAGATTTCCCTGCCTTTCCCTCCCAAGTCTGAATATAAGCTGCTAACCACCAAGATACCTCTCTAGCCCCAATCTACTGGTTTCTGTTGGTTTTCCCAGATCTGTCCTTGATATTTTTTTATCCTTATCTGACATTACTGTCAGAATACAGACTTTGGTTATCTTTTAAAAAATATCTTCCATGACCAATTATCTTTCTTGCTGTTTGGATAAAGCCTCCACCTCACTGTGGCCCTGACTTCTCACCTCCTTTCAGTCCCTCTGGAACACGAGTTTCAGAGTTCAGTGCCACTGTGAAACCTCAGTGTAATGGCTGCTGCCTCTTCAAGGGGAGTCCTAATGTCCCCATGGGGTTGGGGAGAGGCTCTGCTCGTGTTTCCTGTGTGGTTATTTAATATGCAAGGTCCACTTTTCCAACAGATTACAAAGTCCATGAAGGCAGATGGCCTCCTCTCTATCTAGGTCACCATGTCATGCCCCATGTGTCCGTCACAGAGTAGCGGGGGTGCATTTGTAAAGCTCAGTTCCAAAAACTGCTTGTCAGCTGGGGACAGTTCTCCTTCCGCCCACAGTGTTTCTACCATAAGCTAAACAGTAGTCTACTCGCACTTTTAAATAGCACAAGCCCCTGCAGGGGATGTATCCCAGTAACTACAATAAAATCAGATGTGGTTGCTGTCCCAAAAGATGTACCCCACTGAGAAAGCAGAAGGAGAAAGTACTCAGGACATGTGTGGCCCATTTCAAGGAAGAGACACCACGGCAGACTAGCCGGCAGTCACGCAGCAGTATCAGGAGGCAGGACTGCTGGCCATCAGTTCTGTGTGCTTGGCCACTTTCACATTTAGCAGTCACAAGTTGCCAACATGCGCTACCTGTTTGTAATTTAATGATTTAACAGAAAAGTTTCAGGAGGCAATTCTCTCCAAAAGCTTCAGCAGAAGACACCCTCACCCCTTCAACGTAAAGGAAATCAGCATACCCCTCACTTCCAGTCTCTTAGGTCTTAATCTTACATTTCTGCGATATACTAAAGAGAACTTTTAAATATTATTTGTACTACGTTAACTTCTGACACAAATTTGCATTCTGGCATACCTACCATTGCTGTGAGGCCAAGAGTGTACGGTGGCACTTCTCACCAGAGCCTCGTCCACTTTCCCACCTGTGGGATTATCCACATACTGCCTCCCCTGCTCCAATGCATTGAAGCACTCTGTCCAGTAATCGTTGTTATCTGCCTGCACCCGGTCATAAGTCCAGCTCACACAGGGGAGTGTGTGACGACTGTTTGAGGAGATGTAATCCAGGAAGCTGAGAGAAGCGAAGGGTTGTGTGTGCTGATTCTGGAGGAGGAGGAGGAGGCTTACAGGGGGCTCTGGGGCTTTTCGGGCTCCCTCCATCTGAGGAAGAAAGGTGGACTGACACATCATTAAGCGCCTCTCTGCAGCTTGGCCAATATCAGAATTCTTCCCAAAAATATCCAACTCATCTTCAAGGAAGAGCCCCGAATTGTAACCAAGTTTACGGTTCATGATCGCACTAAACCCACAGGTGCATCGGTACTGGTCCTCCTTGGAGGAATCAGGGATGTACAGCCCAACGTCTGCCCCTTTGATGTTCATGTTGCAGGCGCAGATGCAACAGCTGTCAAAGTTTCTGTCCTTGAAGACATTCATCACGGAATCTGACAGAATCAAGGTGACATAGAGACTGTGGGCCTCAGGAATTGGCTGCATGGTAGCAGGCTCCACAGAGTTAAGGGGCCTTGTGGTAGAGGGGGTGGAGGCTGGTGACCCCTGATCAGTGCTGTCGTATTTCACAGACCCTTGGCCACTAGCAGTGCCCCCACCTCTGGGAGTTCTTGGAGTCCTGGGCGTTCGTGGTGTGGGGACAGAGAATCGCGGGGTAGCTGGAGATGGGAGGACTCCAGCCCCACTGTTGCTGGCAGGGGCGGTGCTGTTCAACGTCACAGGAGTGTTCATCTGTGGTGTGTTCAGATAGTCTGGATCTGCAAGGCTCCCAACACTAGGCACATTACTGCAACAGATACAAGGTAGCGTGAGAAAGGGCAGTGGTCACAGAAGCCAGGCCCTGCACAGCCTATCTCATGACGCTGCACAACCTCCCACTCCACAGCTGTAGCGTGAATTCTAACTGTTCTTAATAAAAACCCGGAGCCAGATAGTAGGGGGTAAAGGCTGAGAGATCAGAGAAGCAGTGCAGCCAGCCGGAGCTTTGACCCTTACCAAATCCTCACACCAAAAGGGTAATCCTACCCTCAGCCTGCATCTTCCACTGACTGCTTTCCACTGCACCCTTAGACTGCAGCTGTCTCCACCAAACCTCAGACTGCATCTGAGCTCCTGTCTCCTCCCACCTTATATTCCTTTCTCCACCCAGCCGTATCCCTTCCTGTCTCCAGCTTTCTAGTACTGGGACTAAAGGCGTGGGGAGTCACCACCGACTGGCCTCTAGTGGTTTAGCTCTGTACTTTGATCTTTAGGCAAGCTTTATTTGTTAAAACACAAACAAAATATCACTACACACAGCCCTGCACTGAGCATCTGGAAGTGCATTTTCCTCTTCAAAAATATAAGAAAAAGGAGGGAAAGAAGGAAGGAAGAGGAGAGGAGCGACAGAAGCAACAGCATGAACACGCATGAATACACACACACACACACACACACACACACACACACACACACACGGTACTTCCTTTCCACATAATCCATAGTGCTAGGGAAACTTACAGTCTTAATAAGGAAACGTGGGAGTGGGCATGGAGAAAGCCATGTGAAGTGCTGGAGGATGAACAGAGCCTGGAGTGCAGGCTACACTGGCTGGAATGGTGCAAGTTGATGTTTGCCTGGACTTGTAACTTCATCTTTGTCATTTCTGAAACCGAGACCCTGCCTGCGCACTTTTCTCTGAGGCTATCATTCTGTAATGATACTGAAGTAGCTGTAACTAAATATACATTCAAATAAGGTGTTTTCCTAATTGGGAGAAGGCAACCGTAGCCAGGTTTGTATGTTCCCAGTACTGTGTGGCTGTTGTGCCCATCTGCCTGTTCTGCACAGAGGTTAGTGTCATTCAGCACTCACTGGAAAGTATGCACAGACTCTGGTCCCAGGCACAGAGAGATTTCCTGAGTTCCTTTCAATCTCTTTCATCCTTCAATGTTAGCTATTCCATACAATCACTCTCATTCCAGAGATGGACAGGACTGTTTTATCTCATAAGCAGTGGTTTGGGGAGAGCAGGCAGGCAGAAAACAAAGCCATGTCTGAAGCATTTAGATGGTCGACCACTACAGAACACATCCTCAACACATTCCCACGGATCCGGAGACAACGGACAAGCCCACTCTGCACTTGCAAGGCATCAGGACAGCAAGTTTATCAGTCCTAATGACTCTTTTGGACACAAGGACCCAATGCTTACAATCTGCTCCCTAGTGAGCTACACATCCGTTCACTTACATAATCATCCCCTGTAACCCTTTAGAGCCTTTACCACTGGCCTGGGTATCTCAATCAGGCAGCACGTAAGTCTGGCACACAGGCGTATGTGGGCACAGACAAGAGCTGGCGTGGAAACTGAACGATGCAGCAAACAAACATCTACATAGTCTCATGATTCTACAGGTTTGGATCAGAAAGAAACCACGACTGCTAACTGAAAACCTAAATAATTCAATTGTTCCCTAGCAAATACTTCTTACTTAGCAGCCTCATTCTGCCATGGAAAAAGTGGGGCAGTCACAGAGAAGAAGAGCTACCATGGCATAGAGCAGACCTGAAGCAAGTGTCAGCACGTGTACTGAGTGCAGCAGGGAGCCCAGGGTGGTAGACACTGGAGAGCGAAGTAGGAGCGAGACAGTGTAGAGTCGTGCTGCTCAGTAAAGCAGCTCCTAGACCCCAGGTCTAGATCCAAATGAAGCATAACAAAGAACTCACCAACCACAGCTATACCATTAGACTGTGTGGCTACAAAGCACCTCCCTTGAATGACAGTGCTCTGCAACGCTGCCAGTCTCATCTTTGGCTGCACAAGACACATGCAATGGGTGGCAATAATTCCCCTGACTGAAACTGTCAGATCTTATCTTGGGAACCTGTGAGCGCAGGCAAGTTTAAAGTGCTGAGGGGCTCCTGATATCACAAACAGCCACTAGGGGCCAAATGTGCCTGGGCATCTGCCGCTGGTGCTCCAAACTTCATCAAGAAGCTAGAGCCCAACTGGAGCATGGCAGCAGCCCCGACGAGGCACTCGCAGGGCAGCTTCACAGTTCCCCTCTGCAGTACAAAGCCATTAGCTGCTGGAGCTTTTCCAAAGTTCTGAGTAGAGTCAGGGCAGAACAATCCCATTTTAAAGAGTAGAAGATTCAGGTACAGGGGTTCCTTATAGCCACACACAGACTTTTCAAAAGCCAGGACTGTCATATGGTAAGGTGGCTCTGGTGTCCAATTCCAGAGTACTTCTATTACATTTCTACCCCAGTTCCTCATTCATTTCCTCTGTCACTGAATTACAGCTGTGACCTACAGATAAGTCCTAAACCACAAATCTGGCTCCTAAGGCTTATCAATGAATAGCTGCTAACACTGTAAAAGAAGACAGTGTATATTAAGTCAGACTTAATTCAGTCTCACTGACTGACAACTACCCCGAGAAAGGCATGTGCTGGAGCCCAATCACCTCTACATCCCCTGCAGTGAGATCAAGCAAGCAAGCAGCACTCACCTGTTCATGTGTCCACAGGCCATGTGGCCCAGATTCACACTAGAACTTGTACACTTTTTGCTTTCTCTGATTAAGAAGTTATTTATTTCAGAGAAAGCAGAGTCTGCACTGCTGACACAAATACTATTTTCTCTACGCAATATGAGATGTCCACGTCACCACAAATGTCTCCCTTTATTATTTTCCCCAAATCACACCTCAATCTGTTGCTGCTTTACCTAATTTTAAAGTATCACACTGAAATCATTACCTTACAAATCAAAGCCCCTTCCACCACCACCAAATAAGTGACTTTAAGTGCCAATTCTATGGCAAACACCAGCTTAGCATTAAATGTAACTCTCTGAAATAATCTTAGTTTGTCTATCTATAGGAAATTTTAAAAATAAACACACATTTTTCCACATAAGACAACATGCTCAAATGACAGGAATGGCCAAGAAGCCAGTCTCAAAGGGTAAGCTACGGTCCTGTAACAAGTACTTAGAAATGGTGAGGTGGCAGCATTCGGATACAGTGACTGACAGAGTCCCACACATACTTGTAACCGTCTCTAATGGAAGCGGCTGCAGCGGGCATGGGCAGCTGTTCCATTTTAGGAGGAACTGCCCATGAGGGCCGGAACAGACAGGCATCAGGTGTCTTCAGAGGCAGCAGGCAATGGCTTGGCAGCGTCTTCAGTGGAGCAAACATGGAGGACCCCACAAAAGGCTGGAATTGTGGCACTTTGTGCACATATGAAAAGTCCTGTGACAACAAAATGGGTTTGGTGTTAATGACGACAAACTGGAACCAGCCATAGTTGCTCAGTACTTCATAAAAAACGGGCACAGAATCTACTGTCATTCAATAGTTCTCTACAGGGATAAATCAAAAATAACAATCTAATGCCAACACTGTTTCTGAGGCAATGGCCACAGAGTGGATATGTTGGTCATCTGCTCCGTTTCAGAGTGTTTAGGAACCTGTGTGCAGCCAGGAGAGCATTGCTCTCAAAGTCGTGTCGGAGGCAGCTGGAAACCACCCAGCATTTGGGAAGTTAATACACTGGTTATTACCTTTATCTCCTCTGGCTTGGGACTTCCTAAGCCATCTTCCACTTCCATCCTGAACTCTGTGAGGTGTGTGGGTACCATACTGACCACAGGACTCTCCATCATGCCCAATGCGGTTACTGTCTCTGAACTTACTCCATCTTTATAATTCATCACAGGAGAAAACGCAGGATGCTGCTCCAATGATGGAGGGGTAGGGAACATCCTTTGCAAGTCTGCAACTGCTAAAAACAAAATTACAAGTGTATTTTAACAGCAAGACTCCTTAAAACTCAGACACGCAGCAGGCAGGCATAGCTGGTGGCCCACACGAGGCTAAAGGAATGTCAAGACACAGGCACCCTTTGGCATCCACACTTCCCAATGCTGTATAACACGATGTAATGCCAAAGAAGTGAACAAGGCTGGTAGAGGACACAGTTTTTCTCAATAACTGATTCTCTGAAAAACCTAAAGGAGATGAGTTAAACATAAAGTGGAAGCAGTTCAGCTATATTAGAAAAAAAACTCTTGTTTTCAACTGTTCATGAAATATTATAGAGAACAAAAAAATACTTAGAGCCAGGATGGGGGTTTGGTGTCACTGGTCCCACAGTCCTGCTCTTCTGGGAAAACGACTCCACACTGTCATTCTGGACTGATATTACAGCTTTACAGTTAGAATTAATAATACTACCCAGTCTTGAAAGATACTGGGCAGGGCACACAGTTTAAGGGTACTGAGGGGTCAGAAAGCAGTTTACTGTCAGTGCTTCCCGAGCCTCTGCACATCCCTGGACTCGGTCCTCAGCAGGGAAGGAGTGACTCATAGCACCCACTTCCCACTGTCTTCAGTTTTCAGTGTATCCACTACAGCTCACTAATGGGCTTGGTTAGGTAAGGTTCTGATTCCCCAAAGTAAGCTGTGCCTAATACAATACAAATGTGCTTACAAATCATGGCCACTAGGTGGTGTCTTGCATTTAGAACTGGGAGTTTGTGATTTTGTTATCACTTTTGATGTCCCCATTTCTTCTGCCATTGTCGTTCTTGAAATCCCAACATTTAACTAAGCTAATATTTGGCACCTAGTCCTTAAGCAGGAATTAACATGGAACAGTGAACTTGACTATGACCTGGGTGCAGCATCTGGCAGAGCTGGATCCACACTCCCCAGACAGAGTTCAACTATGGATGAGACACATCCTCCCTCAGGGCCTCGCCCACCAACTAGCCTCAAGTCTCCCTTAGATGTGTGAGTTGCCCACCCTCCACCACACACCCCCTCACACTCCCACACACAATGTTTTTTATAGATGTGTAAGTTTTAACAGGCGTGCTTGTTTTCCATTGGGACAAGGGAGCTTCCAATAGTTTTACTACATGGAGGCAAAAAAAAAGCCAGACGCCCTAGAGCGGGGGTCACAGATGAGCTATGCATCAGAGCTTTTAGCTCTACTTGCTGTCTATCATAGAATTTACATAGGATTTGATATGGTACCTGCTACAGTGAAGAAAAAAAACTCCCCAAAGTTGATGGCCAAGGTACCTTCTTATCTTAGCAATCCCCACTTGTTAAGGAACTTAATGTTTACAACTAGGGAGGCCTGCAAGGCAAACTATTGGAAACCTTATATACAAGTTATTAACCTAAAGCAGGAGAAAGGCCTCCAATCAAATCAATACATTTTATTTGAACAAAGGGGAAGATTGCTGTAGGGTTAAGGCTAACTCAATAAATGTACCCAATACCTCTAATTTTTCTCCAAGTCAAAGACAAGAGCTCCAAGATTAAAGCATCCTTCTCTTTTAAGAGTCAAAACATAAAGCTTCCGACTATGGTAAATGATTTTACCCGAGCCCCAAAAATGGGTTTGGAGAAGGAGTCTCCATTTGAGAAGACAGAGGGTCTAGTGAGGAGGGCAGGATGGATGGGAAGGGCTGTGAGGGAAAGTTAAACAGGGAAAAGTAGAACAACATGCGTGTATTTCCATAATGGAGTTCATTACTCTGTATACTAGCTTTAAAACTTAATGGTGACAAAGCCTTTAATCCCAGCACTGCTGAGGCCTCAGGAGGCAGGGTCTGGCAAATCTCTGAGTTTAAGGCCAATCTGATCTACACAGCAAATTCCCAAGCAGCCAGGGCTACATAGTTGAGAACCTCTAAACAAACAAACAAACAAACAAACAGTCAAAATTACAAAAGCTGGAGAGATGGCTTAGTGGCTGCTCTTGCAGAGGCCCAGGTGGTGTGGGAGGTCCTTCTGTCTATGTGTTTCTTTTATTGGTTAATGAATAAAGGAACTGCTTTCAGCCTATAGCAGAGCTATAGGGGAACATAGCTGGGGGGGGGGGACTAAACTGAATGCTGGGCGAAAGGAGGCGGAGTCAGGGAGAAACCATGGAGCTAGTGCTGTAGACAAGACATGCTGAAACTTTGCTGGTAGGCCACGACCTCGAGGTGATGCACAGATTAACGGAGACAGGTAATTAAAGAAAGACGTAAGAGCTAGCAAGTAAGAAGCTAGAGTTAATGGGCTAAGCAGTGATTTAAATAATATAGTTTCTGTGTGATTATTTTGGGGCTAAGCATCCAGGAACAAACGAGCGGCCCCCTACAATACCCAGGTTCGGTTCCCAGCACCCACATGGGAAGATAACTGTCTGTAATTTCAGCTCCAGGGGATCTAGTATCTCTGGCCTCCAAGTGCACTTGCACTAAAGTGGGAACACACATAAACAACTAAAAGTAATAAAAACAAAATCTTATTAAAAGTTAAGATACATAAATAAACAGTTCTGTTTTAAATTTCCTGTAGGAAACCTGGTAAGTTTATTTCTGCTGAAGCCACCTGTCTTACTAAGGCTACCTAATAAAGCCATAGTCCTATGCTTTCAAAGCCTCCAGCACCCTGCTCATTTTCACAAAGGGAAGATACAATTTCATCTGCCTTTGGGCGCACTTCACGAAGCACTCTCCACCATTCTTACCATCAGAACTCCTAAGGGAGACTACCCTCAGTCACCACCCACACTGCACACTAATGAGAGAACACAGTGCCAAGTGGGTACTTCACCATGTGCACCTCAACACATATGAGTGAGGTCAGTACGCTGGTGTACACCTCCCCACTAGGGCTTCACGACAATGACAACACACCAAGACACAAGTTCTAAGAGCAGGCCCAGGGGAGAGTAGAAAGTCAGAGAAACAAAAGCCAGGCCTCCATAAAGACAATTGGCTGGCACAATGCTGTTCCTAGAAAAAAGAATGGGCAACTACATGAAGGACTGGAGGGGGCCGTGTCCTGCCCTTCCTCCCAGCTGTCCTGCACTCTCCACTTCACCCCAAACCACTGGCTTCTTTCTCAGGATCCCTCTGCCTCAGAGCAAGAGGCAGAAGCCAATCTACAATAAGCACTCCTCAAGAATTGAACTGAATGGTCTAACTCATTTTTTTGCCTTCTCTAAGACTCATTCTTCAAAAAGATGATTTCAAAGAAATGCACAGTAACTGGTCTGTCCAGTGTATCGACCCTTCATTGTTACACACACAAATTAGTAACAATGGGTCTTCTTCCACGTATGCACTGGGCACCCAGAAAGAAGAAGAGAACTGAGATAAGCTGTACGGGTAACATTCCAGAGAGTCCCCAAGCAAGTGTTCAATGACTTTTCATACTTGGTTACATTTAAAATGACAACTGATACATTAACCTCAGTAGAAATTCATTAACAAAATTACTTCCATGGGGTGTCCTAAGTAGATACACAAATGTGGCTCAGCTTCACCTTCTTTGTACTCTGCTGGGCGGTGCCCCTGGGGACATTGTATTTCACAGCTTCCCAGCAGTCAGGAAAGCTGAACAGAGACAAAACACACCACACTGCTTGCACTGCCACTGCTGAGGGGGAAACACTGTGTGTCCAGGTACTGTGTCCGTGCTATGTCTGTTCCTCTACCAGGACAGATTCACATATGTCTTGTCCTGGATCTTTCTGACTCTTTACTTCTGTGCTGCATTTTAACACATTTTTATAACCTGTACTTTAGCATCAGATTCTGAATCTATTTCTAGAATAATCACCTTTTAAATAAAAGTAAAACACTAGCACATAGTCTAACCATGACACTATAGGAGGGTGGCAGTGTGTGGATAGCCTGGGCTACATCTTCAGACACTGCAATGTCTCCTGCTTCATGCAAAGACATAGCAAAGAATAACTGGTTTAGCAATGCAAACTCCTCACCTGACCTACCTATATATACATGTGTCATTCATATGAAATTCCACATTAGTAAAACTCTACAATTCAGAGAAAAAAAAGAAGAAAGAAAGAAAAATATTTAATTAAAAAAAAAAACAACAGCAAGGGATAGCTATCATTATTCATTTCTGTCCATGTCATGCTGGAGAAAACTATGCTATTTAAAAAAGCTATGGATCTACTTAAACTGTCAAAATCCAATCTCTGCACATGTCCCACTTCTACATTTGAGTAAATCAGCACTACATTTATAGGTTCATAAAACTTTTTGAGTCGCCCTGTGAAATGGTGGTTTTCCCCTCAATTTGTTCTCATTAGCAGCTGAAGCGGATGAGCAGAAATTACAAGGTGATTTGCAATGGATGTGTCTGCACTAGTCCTTCTCCTTTGTGCAGGCCCATACTTCCTTCAGGCAGAAACTACACCACTCTGCCCTTGTGTGCATGGCCCTACCGTCAACTGCCACAGACAGAAACAGAAAACAGCACAACAAATCCTGACAAACTCATTATCCACAAGTCAATTACATTTTTGAAAGCCGAAATGTTTTCTGTAAATTCTCATAGTGCCAAGCTCTGAAATTAAGTGTGCAGTTTGTGATCTACTAGACAAGCAGCCCAACAGGTCTCCCTGCCCTATAAACTGTGGCTCCTTCTTAGCTTGAAAACGAAACAGCGTGACTTCCAATGAGGATGGTTTCTGTCTCTGATCAGCTTCTTGCCTTCTCAGAGGTTCTAACTTCTTCTGATGTTTTAATTCTCAGTGACAATCATGTCATCTCAGGCACCTGCACCTACTTGGTGGGTAAGGGCCAGCAGCTCTTCCGTCCTTCCCAGGGGGCCGCTCCTCAGTCCCAACAGTAGGCATCTTGGATGAGCGCAGCGCAGGGGACACAGCCTGAGAACAGAGTTGAACTGTTAGCAGGCTTGAGTATTCAACTACTGACCCTTCAGAATAAAGCAGTACACCCTCACACAGCTCCTAGAATAAAGCAGTACATCCTCACACAGCTCCTAGAATACCTGTAGGCAGCAAAGCCAGGGACACACTTAAGCTTCTCAGAAAGAGAGAGCAAGTAAGTCTGTTTGCTGGGACCTGGTGAGCAGACTGTACAGGCCCTCAGCGATGCAGCTTAAGGTGGGTATCAGTGCACCTTTGCCAATATAGTAGCTGGCCAGCAGTATCCAACAGTGACTAGCTGTGGGGCTGGCATTCCTTCTGTGGGAGGAGGCAGCTAAAATACTGGTCCTGTGCTCCCCAAAGCTATTGTTTTTTGATCTGCCATTCCCATTTAACAGATAACCTCCATTATCACAAAGGCAGCCCCATCCAAGAATCTCTAATTGCCCAGACAACTGTTCAGTTATTGAGAACAAGGTGACTTCTTTACTAGGAAATAGCACCTTTAAGAACTCAAATGGGCTGGTCACAAAATAAAGTACACCCAATAAAATAAAGTAAAAAAAGATCTTACATATAGAATGTCTTTTACTTACACTTGCTTAATACACAATTGAATGTAGAATAATATCCAAACACATTCCAGCCAGCAGCTGTCCACCTCTACTCACTAGGTAAACTAGTTATATCAAACAAACGCTAGAGTTAAAATCAAAAAGGAAACTCTTCTTTCAAAGAAATAAAAATATGATTGAAAATGTTCAGTCTCCTTTGTGTTTAAAATTGCTTACAATATCTTCCCCAAAGAACTGTTTCTTCATTAAGCCCAACAGGGAACTAGAACTTGTATGGGAACAGAGTCTAACGTGCAGAGCAGAGAGCTCCGGCACTAAAACTGTGCCCATTAGCAGGATGAGCCCCTCCACAGCACCCACGGTTCTCTGACCTGTCCTTCTACTTGGCTGACTTGATTCATTTTCCTTCAATGCTTTACTCTCATCACCACCAGCGATAGTCATTACTACCATGGTCCTCATGCCTCTCTACCCCAGCCTAGCTTGTGTTCATCTTCCTGACAGATCCAAAGGGGAACTCTCCAAGGCCCAGATCAACAGCAAGGAAATGTATCATTTTTCCTATGGTTTGGTACACTTCCCTGTCCTTTTCTTTCAGATAGCAAGTATTTGAATTAAGACTACAGTTCCAATGTAACAAAATAACAAACAGAATTTTGTTTTCCTATCTTCAGACTGATTTTAAAAAATGCAATGCTTCCACCAGTTCCACACTCAACAGAGTCCAGGAGGGAAGGCTGAGAGATTCTCTGGAGTCCATCCCTATCTGAGGGCTGGCAAGGAACTGACTAGCAGGCCTCAGTGCTTAGCTGCTTCTCTCTGCTGTCCAATCAGGCTCATTCCACAGTAGCTCAACGACCCCAGTCTTCCCACCTCTCAAGTCAAATCCATTCTTCAAGGCCGTTATGTTCTCATCCTCATGCAGGCACATGTAACTCAACAGTGTATAAGATCTGTTAATTAGCTATGTTTGAGTTCAAAGTTAGAAATCTGATCCCTACTTAACCTGGAGCCGGAATTTAAACTCCCCTGCCTCCTCTGCACTTCAATGTTCAGCATCCTTAGATCCTGGTCTGTAGCTTAACTCATAGCAGTACATATATTTACAGGCTGTTTTACCTGAAGTCTGTGTTTCCACTATAAAGCTAGCAATTTAATCAAGCATGTAAATTTCATAATTGTTTCAGTTACCTGTCACAAAAGAACTGTTTATCAAATTATTTTCAAAGTTTATGTAAAATGGATGGAGAGGGAGACTACATAAATAAGTAATAAAGAAAATTCTGTAAAAAGAGAGTGTGTTTTATTCAGCTCTCGCTTCCCAAGAATAACAGGTGCTGGTGTGTGCCCAAGCACACAAAGATGAGGAGGGCGAGCACACGCGCTTCCTGACCTTAGCTCAGGCGATTCCCAAAGAATACTAACTCTTGCCCATCACTGTAATCATGTGTCTACACTACTTGCCACCACCACCCCTAACTCTGAACAGCACACAGCACACGTGTGTGCAGCTCCCACAACCACACCAGCTGCTCAGTTATCAGATGGAGAAAAGTTATGTGCATTATGTAAAAACCTCATCTAAAGAAATATACACATTTCTATGGTCCCTTAACATTCAGAATGATTTATTAAAATGTGAAAGATTTTAATATTTACAATTATAAGAATAATGATGTGAAAAAAACAAAAGCACCAGTAAACAGTATTCAAAAGGGTCTAAGTACGGGAGCCTTTCTGACACTTATTTAACATCTAAAACAGTGGTTCTCATGCTGTGGGTAGCAACCCCATTGGGGGACAAACAATCTTCTTACAGGGGTCGCACAACAGATATTTACATGATATTTCATAACTGCCACACAATTAACAGGTATGAAGTAGCAATGACAGTAATTTTATGGTTGGGGTCACCATAACATGAAGAACTGCATGAAAGGTCTTAGTGTTAGGAAAGTTGAGAACCAGTGCCTAAAGTGGGAATCCTGAAATGCTGGCCCAGCTACCACACAGCAGGTCTCACACATGCAGCTACAGCAGACTCACCCCAAGCTCATCGTCATCAGAGTTATCAAAGATGTTGTCTAAGTCGTGCAGGGAAGGTGCCAAATCTGTCACCTGTGTAAGGCTCCCGGAGCCAGCTCTGCCAGCAGCATTGTCCTGCCGGACATCTGCGGGAAAAGAGGCAAGGAAATAGGATGAGCAGGCTCCTCAGCTGGGAAGAGAAGAACGGACATGGACTGGACCTCGGTCAACAAGGTCTGCTGGGAATTCCCTTCCTATGACCTACGTAAATTTAGACACAATTATTTCCAAATATGCTTATCAGCTTTGAAAAGAACTAAAAAACAATCCACGAAAAACAGAAAAGTTGAGATCAAATTACTGTTATAGCAATAAAAGTATAATTTTAAATTGCGAAGAATCTCCTTTGCATTTTACTTTAGCAACAATCCAAGTGAGTCAAGTAACAATGTACACACCTGTTTTAGTAGCAGAACTGAAAATAGACATGGCATTTTTCCCATCAGGCACCGGCGTGGAATGACCTGGTGTAGTGACATCCTTGGTACCAAATCCATCCTCTGACTGTGTAATAAATTCAGCCAAACAAAACACATGAACAGCAACCCAAAGTGTGGGATATGAGGGAGAACAAAAAGAATTAGCATGTCGAATGGAACCCATTATGAGCAGTGTGAGAAACCATGGTCTATGCAACCAAAGGGAATCAAAGGCATGTTCTTGCTCCACGCTGCACAGAATCAAGGTGATCTCAGTGACTCAGTGGTTCTGGTGGCATTTGATTACAGACCTGTCGTGCTATCAAGTGTTGCCTTAAGTAATTGTACCAATGTTAAATGACAGAGTAAGCCTCTGGATACACATAGATCCTGTACATTGTCCCCTCGACTCTACTGGCCTCTTTAACTAACTGTCAAACCTCCCTACTCTCTCTAGAATACCTCCTTAATGACTAAAGCTGGCAGGCACACCCAGTACTCACTACCATGGCAATGGAACCAGACCAGCTCACGCTGACAGTCTATGGGCAGTACTAACATGGATCCAGAGAACATACAGGCATAGCTCTTGCATAGTGAACATATGCACTTCATAAAAAGAGACACTGCACTCAAGAGTTTTTGCTTTACATTTTACGTATTTTGGAAAATATTTTAAAAGAAATAAGCAGGGAGCACAGGCCAACAATAATCAGCATATGAGAGGAGGCATGCACGGTACAAGCTACAACCTGGAAAATATGCAGCTTCCTTTCTGCTCAGCCGACTCTGGAACAAAGGTGAGCCATGACATAATACGGTAGTACCAGGAGAATGAGTATGAGGACAGAGCAACCAGGCAGGACTACCTCATATTCTACCTCAGGAGACTCCCACACACATTGACACCAAAACCCACAGCCTGCTGGACTCCCTCTGTAGTAAATGGTACCTTGTTCTTTTTTAGGGAGTCCTTCTCTGTTCCCTGCTTGCATTTCTTATTTGCTGTGAAAATGTATTTTATGTCGCCATCCTCAAAGGTATATGGGTCATTGACTTCTCCCAAAGTGTCTCCAGGCTGCTGTGACAGAGAGGACGGGTCGAGGAAGGGGGGTGGCTGCACCTGAGGCTGCTCATCCTGCCAGATTTTGAAGCGCTTGTTAGGCTGTGCTAAGAGTCTAAAAGGGAAAATAAATGAGTTTAAGTAAGATAAGGTAAAATTATGCTTTTCCAAAGCAGTATTAAGGTTTTAAAATTTTCCGTTATTTATTTTGTATGTGGGCATGCACATGTAGCAGGTGAAGGACAGAGAGTCAGTGTTTTTCCTTTCTGGTGAGCAGTACTGAAGTGCACGCAGCACAGTACTCAGGCCAGTGAACACAGCACTTCAAGGAAAAGAAAGCCTCGGAGGCCAGGCCTGTTCTCAGCCTGCTCGCCTGCTGAGTCGTCTTGCCAATCTAGTATTTATGATTTATAAGAAAATTTTAACTGAACATTTAAAAAAACCTAATAAATCTCTAGTACCAGGTTTTTGTTTTTCAAGCTCTTAAGCACAATTAGACAGAACTAAGTAAGGCAGCTTTGTTAGTCCACGCTGTCTCTAAACCCAGATTCTACAGAAAAAACAGGTCATCAGCAAAGAGATAAGGCTGCAGGGAGACTTCTGTGAGGTCACCTACACCAAAGGATGAGAATGATAGGTGCTCAAGGACACTAAGAGCTGAGTGTGCAATAAGCTCCACTCTTGGTTAACAAATAGTAGCCCCCAAGTAAATGAATACACAATGCATGTCCTAAGATGCCGCAGCAAAACCTTTATATGCCATGCATTTAACACCACCATATTACTAAGTCTCATGAAGAACACAGGTGTTGATTCTGAGACACTCCCCATGTGCAGAGTCACAAGTCAGTGAAAGCTTAGCAAACGGAGAGGAGAGCACGGATGCCCAGGGTTCCGCCCAGGCCACCTCACCTTTGCAGTGCAGTGCTCTCTGTGTTCACGTCCAGTTTGGTGTCAAATCTTTCCCCCTGGAGTTCTGGAGGCCGGAACTCAGCATCCTCACTGGACGGGAGACGAAAACTCTGCCACCATTTATCTGATGACTCCGAGTAGGATGGCCTAATCCCACTATATAAGGCTGTCTCACTGACCTCTGCCATCAGAGGCAGTCTTTGGCCTACGAGGACAGTTCTGTCATCCAGCGTGGACAGCTGCTGAAGTTCTAGCCCATTTCCATAGAGGGCTGGATTCACAGGGACAGAAGGTGGGTCCAAACTCTCTGCTTCCTGACCTCTTGGCTGAGGGCTGAGTGTGGGTGGCAGCGGGGAGATGGGGGAATGAGGTGAATCCATAGGATTCAGATTCATTTGCTTGCTTGTATTTCTGGAAGGCACGGCCATTTGCTTATCATACTTCCGACTGCTTGACATCTCTAAGGAGGCATCTATCCCTGCCAGGCCTAGCTTCTGTCCAGGCGCATCCTGCTCCATGCATAACTCCTCAGCCACAGAAGGCCTGTGGTGAAAGGGCACCAAGGGTCTCTTTTGCAACTTGTCTCCTTTTTCTTGTCTTTCTGCTGTTTTGTGCTTAGAAGAAGCAGGAGGTGGTAAGGAGGAAGATGATGGGGGTCCTGCACTGAAGCCTGGCTGAGATACTGCAGGAGGTCGGCTGGGTCCTACTGCACATCGCTTTAAAAGTTTATGCCTACAAGGAGAGTTAAAGTGAAGTCAACACATACTCCGACACAGATAACACAAGGCTGCGACATCACAAAAGAAGCATCTCTAATAAGGGTCTATCTTTCTAGGCATATGCTGGATGACAGGCACGTCTAAAAGGGCTCCACAATCCAACTACGCTTATAATCACTAAAAATACAAGTATCTGATAGGAAGCCAAGAACCAGTCACATATAAGGTCAAGCAGATAAAATGTGGACTTAATGAAAAATACAAATTAATATCCTGCTAATCCCAAATCTTACTAATTATACAAGAGCTTCAGATAACCTACTCACACTGAATCTGAAGACTACAAGATTAAATGACCAGAAAAGGCTAAAAACCAAAAATTCGATTTTTAGTTCTCAACACTCTACCTGTAATCACATGGCTTAAATGACTTGTAATGTTATAAACTGGGAATAAAACAACTGTGTTCTGTACTCCAAAGTATAAAGTAAGATAAACAAGCTCACTTAGTGGGGTCAATATATTAATAGCCTTGCCCCCTGATATATGGGGGAAGAAATGTGAGACAATTGTGAATGTCAGACACTTGTGAAGGAAAGGTCAGTGACTGGGAATCAGAAGACAGCAAATGCACCTAAGCCCCACCTCATATCAAGAGGAATGTTACTTCTGCATACCCATCCCATCTCAGCAAAAATGCCACATTTGCCCACGCTTCTTGCCAACCACCAGCCTGAGGAGCAGCTTAGTCGGACCACTAAATGATGCCAACTTTACTCTGCTCAGCCAGCGCCTCTGTAAGTCACTTCGAGGGAAGACTGCAAGAGCTCCTGCAGTGCAATGGTGACTCTCTGAGGCCACTTGGGTGGCATTAAATTACTGCTGCATTGAACTAAATGATACCCTTGTGGGCAATAAAATGGATTTGTGTGGCATAATGGGATGGTTTAGTGGGACAACAGAATGGCCGCCCTGCTCCATTCGGCTGTTAAATAGTGAGAGGAGTGGACCATTCCATAGGGTTTGTGATCCTACAGCAGATAATCTGCAAACACTCTGGTCAAACTCTTCACTACCCTAAAAAACTAAATCTTTAAAACAAACAAGCAAGAAGCCCTGACTTGAGAAAGGCTATCAAGGAAAGTACAGGAGAGGTGTGTTCTATGCAACAAGGGCACCGTAAGCAGTAAACAACTCATCAGAGGTCTCACTGTCTTCCAGGGCTCATTTCTAGCCCTTCCTACACAGACCTGGACTTTCCCCAGGAGAATGAGCTGCACTTGTCTTCTACAGGACTTTTATGCAGACTCTTCAGAGAGAGGATTTGTTGTAACACATGTAAGCTTTGTGAAGCTGGCTCTTCCAGCTCCATCACATGACTCAGCCGCACAATGTTTAAGAGCAGGAATGTGTCCTGCACCAAGAGCATTTGCCAAAGCCTCAAGTACCAAGGAGCCTAGTATGAGACATGTGGAGAGCAGCCTTGGGGAAGGGCCACCATGGGAGGAGACAACTTAAGGCAGAGCCACATAGTGCAAGAACACTGGTGGGTGCAATGAAAGGCTGCTCAGACAACTCTTAGGAAGGAACTCTGATGGACCAGATTCAGAAAAAAATCACCAGGTGACCAGGGAAAACACCATAGCAGTGGGCAGATCTGTGGGGGACACCAGCAGTGGGCGGGTCTGTGGACAAAACACCAGCAGTGGGCAGGTCTGTGGGAAAACAACAGCAGTGGGCGGGTCTGGTGGGAACAAGATGCTGTATAGTAAGTATTTCTTTCCTTTCCGGTGGGCTGGGGCTTAGACCCAAGGTCATGTATGTAAAAGTCAGGGGAAGTGCTCTATTGGAAGCCACATCCTGACACAAGGATGTTTCTCAAAGGCTCCCAACAAGGAAAGCTAGAGCACAGGGCTGCGAAGGCTAGGTAGCATGTGGGAAGCAGCACAGTGGCTGCTAGGAAAAGCCTTGGGAAAAAGAGTTTGGCTAAGAACTAGTGTGGCAACCCAGAGTATACAAAGCAAAACATTATTTATTTACTTAAATATACTAGGAATACACCCACAAAAATATATGGTAGCTGGTTTTCTTTTACACTAATCAGTAAAAGAATGCTTTAACTGAAAATTTAGACCATAGAAAAGATCAGAAAAGAAAATAGGCCCAAGTTAAACTTGTCATAGTTTTTACCCCTCATACTTGCTAAAGAGATGCCCCCCCTTTCCCAATAGCCAAGAGTCAAAAGTAAAATATATACATAGATTCAGCTACAGCAAACTATATCTGCCCCATGGCAGGAGGAGAGCAGTATGTACTCAGAGAGGACAAACCTTCTTCCCAGCAGTCAACCTCAAGTGTGACTGGGCTGAAAGAAGAGGCAATGCTTGGTAAGAGCACAGGGGCCAGGGAGACAGGAAGAGGGGCCAATGTTACTCTATCAGAGTTGATGGAAAGGGTTTGCATTCTCTTCCCCAAGTCAATTCACTAACACCCCAGTAAAAGCCCTGAACTGAAAAATGAATGGTCATTTTTTGAACAGATAGTCTGCAGAGTGACATTTCTAGAAGGCTCCCGAGAGCCACATGAGAAACCTATGCTGTAGAAACTCTGAAAACAGGAGTGAAAATACAAGGCCCGTTCTAACCATCAGCTGAATGGGAGATGAAGTCTTTCTCTTCTTAAAACTTTAAAACCCAGCCGGGCGGTGGTGGCGCACGCCTTTAATCCCAGCACTCGGGAGGCAGAGGCAGGCGGATCTCTGTGAGTTCGAGACCAGCCTGGTCTACAAGAGCTAGTTCCAGGACAGGCTCCAAAACCACAGAGAAACCCTGTCTCGGAAAAAAAAAAACAAAAAAAAAACAAAACAAAAACAACTTTAAAACCCATACCAAAAAAATCCATGGCAGTGAAACCCTCAACTAGTCCAAACACTCCACAGACAAGCAACTAAGACACCACGACTACACTAACTTCAGCTTTCAGCACCTCTAGTGGAGACAAGAATGACCAACAGAAAGGATCTGAGAGGTTCTGTTGACGTCGGCCAACCTGTTCTCCAACACTGAACCCCGACAGCAGTGTTATCATGTCATCAGACCAGACTCTTCCTACTGGATGAAGTTCAAAGCAAATTAAGATTGAGATGCAGTGGTCTGTGTGGCCTGTGGCTGGCCAACAGCGTGAATCAGGCTCTCTGTGGCTGCTGCTTGCCTGTCCACACCCACCTTGAACAGGAACAGCTGACTCTTTGGGTTGGGTCCACAAAATCCCAAACAGCAGGACTGTGAGCAGGCTCTTCTTCCTGAGTGGGAGTTGACACCTGGCTCCTCCTAGAAAGGGTGAAAATGTGACTAAGTACAAACACGAGATAACTTACTCCTCTATAGAGAAAAGGTCTGTTTGTTCTCTTAAGGTGTGAGTATATTTTATATAGTAACGGATCCTGCTGTTAAATTAGTCCAGAGCAACTACAGAAGTAAATGACCTGTCCTCTATACACACAGAAGTAGGTTTCAAAATGCCCCTCCTTATAAGATCATGGACAGTATTTACTGCAATGGAACAACACCCAGTATCATTTTCTTTTAGAAACTCACTTCTACCTGGCATGAGCAAGGCCTGGCTTTAGTACCATACACTCATATGTACACTTGCCCACCCCCATCCCCCAACACACATACACATACAATATATAGTCACCTAAATTATAAAAAAATGTTTTAAATTACTGTTTGACAACATCCATAAATTATATATACTCTGATTATGTTGTTAAATCACTCTTAAAATGCTTACATTATTTAATAGCATCTAAAGGCAATATTCTAGCACTTTTGACACAAATTAAAAGCAGAAATCAAAACTACCCCCCACACCCACATATCATTAGTAATAAGCCAATGAAGCAAGACAACAGGCAGTGCTTGAGGACTTGTCTCCCAGTAGCTAGCTGATGCCGCAGACTCACTGGGTGGTTCTCAGGGAACTTCCAAGATACTGCCTTTCCTACCTCCCTACTCTGTGTTAGGAGGAGAGGGCCTTGGTCTCTCAGAACAGAGGTCTGAGGCTAGTTTTGAGTACACACGGAAGATAATGAGAAAGAAATGATAACTGGAAAATTATGTAGGTACTGAAGATAGAAGTAAAAATATCTGCTCCAATTACTATGAAGAAAAGATCATTTCTAAATGATTGGGGATAGTCTTCAAGTTCTAGACTATGATTTTATACAATTATTTTAGAGCTTGTCTAGCACATCTTCAATGGCCTATTCCGGAATCAATTTGTTCAAAAGAAAATATTTAGCATCAATTTGCTAAAAAGCGTGGTCCAAAGAACAGGCATTAACCTGAACACAGAACTCTGAAGCACACTCTCTTCAGAAGCATCTACAGCACTTCCAGATGCACAGTTATTAGTTATCAACAAGAGCATCCATACGACAGGCTAGAGAGGTAGCTCAGTGCTTAAGAGTGTCTGCTCTGTCCCAAAGGACCTGAGTTTGGTTCCCAGCACACATGTCTGGCAGCTCAAAGCTGTTTATGACTCCATGTTCTGGGGATCCACATCTCTGGCCTCCCCAGGCACTGCTTCTGTTTTTTGTTCATTTGTTTGTTTTTCAAGACAAGATTTCCCTGTGTACCCCTGGCTGTTCTGGAACTTCCTTTGTAGAGCAGACTGGCCTCAAACTCAAAGATCCACCTGCCTCCACTTCCCAAATGCTGGGATTAAAGGCATGTACCACCACCACACAGCTGGTACTACTTCTTAAGAATAAATAATAATAATAATAATAATAATAATAATAATAAAGGGGGGAGGGGCGGTGGTGGTGCACGCCTTTAATGCCAGCACTTGGGAGGCAGAGGCAGGTGGATCTCTGTGAGTTCGAGGCCAGCCTGGTCTACAAGAGCTAGTTCCATGACAGGCTCCACAGCTACAGAGAAACCCTAATTTGAAAAAACAAGATATATAAATAAATAATAGGGGGCTAGAGAGATGGTTGGCACAGTGATTGAGAACACTAGCTGCTCTTGGAGAGGACCCAGCATTGATATGACAGTTCACAAAACTCCACAACTCCACAACTCCAGTTCCAGGGGATTCAACATCTTCTTCTGATCTTTGTACGTCCTCTTCTGACCTCTATAGACACTAGGCATGCAAGTGGTGGACAGATGTATATGCAGACAAAACACCCATAACATAAAATATAGGTAATCTTTCTATAGACACATACACACATATTATACATATACATACACACACGTGTAACATGTTAATGCAGGCAGGAGGGAATGAAGACGAAGAAGAAGAGCTGGAAGAAGGAACACAGAGTCCTCAAAGCAACCCCAGGAACACAGCATCACCCAGGTGTGCACTGGCAGTAAAAAGAAGGCCAACACTGACAACTACTGTTCACGAAGTTTGTTTCCCTTTATAACCGGGAACCATTCAAAAAGCAGCACACAAAGAAAGCCAGACCCTGATTGCCGTTCTGACAGGATAAATCTCTGAGCTATCCCTGCCGGCAAATATCACATCAATACCATGCCAACCTTCAGATGTTCAAGAACATGAGAATTTTCCACAATAATCATATCAGATAAAGAAATGATATTTAAAAAACCATTTGTGTTTTATATTATATTCCACTGAGTTTAAATCATAAAAATAACAGTTTGAAGACCTTTAGGTTTGGACAGACAGCCTTACACGTGCCTGACTGTCCTCTTTACCCTGCAGTCAAAGAGAAGTCACTCGCTATAATGCACACATACTTAGATTGGGCTCTGTTGAGGATGCATTCCTTCCAGACTCGATGGACCATATGATTGTGGAGTTTAGGAGGGATCTTCCTCGATCTCTTTGGACTGTGCATAGTTATCATTCCCCCATCTTGGGAACCGAGGTGACTGGCAGCACTCTGCATGCCTCCACTCTCACCTAGAAAACAAGCAATCAGAACATCAGGTTTGCCACAGGTGCACGTGGTACACAGACTGGTGCATATGTCAACTGCCAAAACTCACATTTGTGAAGCTTCGTCTCCTACCCCTGGCAATTACACTACCTGTAGTGATGAGGAAATCCGCACCCCATATACACACACCACTAACCAACTTGCCCAGGTCTGTGTGATTTTCTGTGTTCTCTCTAAAGCAGCAGACCTGATAAACATGAATATGTCACATAGCAACATCTTACCCCATGTTTTAGATGCATTTAACTTGTAAAAAAGGGGCCATTATTGTAAAATTAAAAACGCAAACATGCATTACTGTCCTGAGTTCAGAAACTAAATGCAATCAGTACATTCTGGGGCAGACAGCAGCACAGGCAGTTCCATGCTCATCCAGCTGTGTAATAAAGACACACAGCACCCAAGAAAAAGAAAGAACTTATTAGCACACAGTTTCTTGTATAGAACTGCTTGCCTTATTCCCAACACCGACTACCCACGTTTAGCACTAAAATACTAAAGGGAACATCTCCACAGGCTGTTCATGGGCCGGGGGGTGAGGGAGGATACCACAACAGGACACTCACTGGCTTCTCTAAAGTTAGCTCCTCCATCCTGTTGATGGATGGCCCAACCTTCTGGCCACACCCACAGCGATGGCACTGGTTAGCATTTCAGATAAGGCTAGTCTACAGGAAATGTTCAGTCAACTCAATGGCTTTCAATCTTAGTTGATTTAATAAATGTACTGTGGGCTCTGCCCTCAACAAAATAAAAGTCAAAAACAGTCCGCGTACAGACTCTGGAAAACCTGCCCTGCTATCTTGAAAATATTGAAGTTTCCTTTATAAAACAAATATTCTCCATGACAACTGCATCATTGCTTTTGCTCTATGGGATATTTAGGTTTATCCACCTGAGATCAACAAAACCAGCAACACCTACACTTTAAACAGCTGAAGCCTTCTTTCCCCCAAAGTACTAATACTGTAGATGAAGAAAGTACAGGAGTCAGGAGTCCTGATTCTTCAGTACTATCTTCTGCTGCTTTTTTAAATTTTCAGGCTGGGTTTACTGTATAAAATAATTCATTTCATTTTCTAACTGGCTCTTGAGTGTCTGTCTGTAAGAACTAGACAAAGAAATCATCAAGGTAGATAACAAGATTCCCTCAACATCCCATGGCAATGCTGTGAGAGGCAAGGTGAGCACTCTCCATGGGACTCAAAGTTACTGTCTCTGGTTTTCTAGGCCTCTAAAAGAGGCAAGGAGAAAGAGTTGTCCAGAAGGATATGGTGATCTCAGCAACACTAGCCAGCCAGCTCGCCTGTCCCAATTGACCTATCAGAAGAGCTTTTGGCAGTCAGGGGCAAGGCTACCCTCTCTCTAAGGGAGTGGCCAAGAGACAATGCCAAACCATAGCACAGTACTGTGTCATGGGACATTGGGACTAGTTCATCGGACTACAAAGATACTAGACCCTTTAGTGTCGATTACCTGAGAAAGTGAGAAACAGTGGGAGAGCACTTCCCCAAGGACTAGAGCAGTATGGACAGAGCTAAAGTTGCTTTTGGCTGTCAACTCCAGAGTTCTGAAGTGACTGGAGGCCAAGGCATTGATGCTAAAGTAACTTAAACTTCACTGAGTATCTGGAAACAAACCGATAAAAAAAATCAAATAAACTGACAAAAATTTAAAGTGGTCAATTGTTAAGAATATAAATTTTTAAGTAAAATTTAAACTACTCAAAATATTGACAAATGATAGGGTCTTTATATCAATATAGCATCACTATGAGGATCACTACAAAATATAATGTTGTATTTCCTTTTTCAGTGTAGGTATAATAACTTCAGGAAGGGTCAGGCAAATGCTCTACTGTAGGAGTCCTGTGTGCAGCCTCACAAGAAGGTGCTGATTTGTGAGTACTGCACATGAAATGCTCGTATTTAGTCTATGTACATCTGCCTGTATATTGTAAGCCGTCTCTGAGTTATGTAGAACACATAACACAAGTGCTGGCAGATTACCAACTCAAACAAGCTCACTATAGTCAAGAACTCTGCCACTCAACAGAGTAGACAAAACCGTTCTCAATTCAAGCAATCTCTGTTTCCCAGGAATGAGTGTGTGAACTGCCAAGTGTCTATATTAGAGAGCAGACCACGACAGGACACAGCAGAGCCTATTCATGCTATCCTAACTGTGTCATAATAGAAAAAGAATCATTGCCTATTTGTCTTGGGTAGCTACTGTCAGCTGGACAAAGGTTACAGTCATTCCTGGTCCAGTCCTTGTGATGGTTAACTCTGTCAGCTTGACTGGACTAGGAAACACCTCGGCAGGGAGGGGCCCAAAAAGGCACTTCCAGAGACAGTAGCTCTGACTAAAGCAAAGAACTAATCTCTCCAAGATCACATAGCAGTGAGGCATCACAGGGGGTGGTGAAAGGTAGGAGGTGGAACCTGGCTGGAGAAAGTGGGACACTGAGGACATGTCCTTGGGACTCCAATTTTTCCCTGGTCATTTGCTCTATGTTCTATTACTTTTTATCCAACAAGAAGCAAAGAACTGCCTCCCGTGTCTCCCCACCACCATTAAAACTATGTCCACCAACAGTGGGCTGACCCTGAGGAACAGGAAGCCAGACAGATCTTCTCTCCCCTAAGTGCTTTTTTCAGCTGTTTGGTCACCATGACACAAACTAAGCTAATACAGTATTTGCCATTTGTTTAAAACAAACAGAAACAAGGCAACCTGCACATAGTTTCCTGTCCGGGTATAGAAACGTGGACTAAGCGTGCTGAGGAAGTGCATGTGCAGAACTAAGAAGCACACCAACACTGTTCTTAGAACAAAGACTAAGACAGCACACGTACAAATCTCTCCCATCTCCTCCAATTTCGCCAGCAATTCTGCCATGCTGTTGAAACTCTAGACGTTCTTCACAGGAACATGCTCGATTGCACTCACCTATAACCACCTGCTCTGGAGAGGTGGGAGGCGTCAGAGGCAACCCACAGTTGCTGGGATCTTTCATACTACCAAGTCCCTGCTGTGCGACTGTGACATGGCCTCCGACAGTGGCAGCACTCTGAGGAACCGGGATGTCATTTTGAGAGATCAACACAAAAGCTGAAGGGTAGACCATCCGGACACCACCTGTGAGGAAAGACAGCAAGGAGCAGGCCTGACAAAGTTGCCTGCACACCCAAGTCTACTATTACAGTGAAGCAGCTTAACGGAAAAATTAAGTACTGCTACGAGCACACCTGCCTGAACATGTGTCCCAGAGTCACCATGACAGCACATGGAGCACAGGAACCACAGGCACAGATGTGGACAAGCTGGAGAATCTAGCTGAGTGGCCATCCCTTTAACAGTGGAGCTAGAATGAAGTCCTTCAGGCAAACGCTTTCTTACCAACAATGACCTCAACTGCTACAGGGAAGTCATCGTCATATCCCAGCTCAGCTTCCTCTCGTGACTCCTCCTTCTTCCTCAGCACCATCGGGTAGAAGTACTGCCATTCCTCAATCAGTTTGCGGGTGGCTGGGTCTGACATCTTGTATGCATGCCCTGTTAGCGTGCCATTTAAGCCATAAGGACTCACCAGTACTATGGAAAGGAGAAAAAAATATTATATATAATCCGTACATATTTTGTCATTTTAGGTTAAAACAGAGCCCTATTTCATGCTCTATGCATGAAGTCTAAAGTCTTTCACAGTATGTTCTTAAAGTTTATTTTAGAATTATTTATGTGCATTTTACTTTATATCCATTTTTGAAGGAAATCAAGTAGGGATAGCATTACACTTTCAATTCAATCAACATATACTATACAAACCATCTGCTCATTAAAATCCATGCCTCTCTACTCAATAATGGCTGTTTAACATGAACAGCACATTTGGCATGGGTACCCAGGCCTGTCTGGCCCTTGAAACTGACAAAGATCCTGAAACCCACAACAACAAAGCTCCTAACAGCAGGTCTTCAGGCACAGAGCTTACTTGTGTGTTCAGTGTGACTATTCAAGGGGTCATGATGAACACTCTCAAGTTATGTTCAACTCCAGTATGGAGCTGATAATAGTTCTGTTTCCAGTCAGTCTTTGAAGCCCATGTCATTTTGGTGGAGTAAAAACCAAACAGCAGTCACCATGGTACTTACTCCATGGCCCTGTGAACAGTCTCCCAAATAATCCTTTCCAGGGGACTCAGAAAATTCAAATAGTGGGGAGCATACCGCTCCCCTTTGGCACTGTGTATGCACTGGAGATCAAAGATCAATGTCAGAGGTCTTTCTCTCTACAGCTCTGTCTTTTAAATTAATTGTGTGCCCAAATATGGAGGTCGGAGGACAAAAGAGCCTGTTCTCTCCTTTTATTGCATGGGTTCCAGAGATTAACTCAGGGTGCATACCAAAAGGTGCCTCACCCACTGAGCTACCTGTTTTGAGAGACAAGGGCTCTCAATGCATATGAAGCCCACAGGTCTGGCTAGACTGGCTGTTGGCCAAGAGTTCCAGGAATCTGACTGCCTCGGCACCCAGCACTGAGGATATAGGTCCATCACACCTAGCTCTTAACCACCAATGCTGGAAATCAAACTCAGGTCCTAATGTTTGTGTAGCAAGAGCTTTACTAACCAAACCATTTTCCACTCCCACCCCCTTGATTTCTGAGACAAACCTCACAAAGCCAAAGTTAGACAATTCAATAAGGAGCTGAGCTTGACCTGAAATTCCTCATCCTCCTCCATCCATCCTCCAAAAATTGGGATTATTGGAATGTGCCATCACACCTGGCTTGGGGTGTCCTTTTAGTGGGTCAGTTTTAAAAAATTAAAAAAATTTCTGTAGCCATGTTTTTTCATTGCCCATATCACTGAACCGACCATTTTTTTAAAGCAGTTAGACAATGTGTCACATGAGGGAAGAGAGGTAGCTTACTTAAAACACCCGGTCTCTGGTGACCTAAATTCCTAACACCACCTTTCCTAATTTCCAAGGTTAGAAAACTACTTATCTTCTGTTGTGACCGTGATATCATCATAAATTCCTTAATTCTGAGTAATATTATTGAAGATGAGATCAGGTGGTCCTCCAAATTTTCAAACAAACATAGTATTTAAATAAATCTGGAGATCTGCTATAGCCCATACTGTGTAATATTTCATGTGTGTTTTGAGAATTGGGTTGTTTCAAATTTTATATAAATTTTATAGTCTCTTCCCCATCTCCTTGGTTTTCCAAGACAGGGTCTCTCTGTGTAGCCCTGGCTGTCCAGGAACTCACTCTGTAGACCAGGCTGGCCTCAAACTCAGAGAACTACTTGTCTCTGTCTCCTGAGTGCTGGGGTTAAAGGTGTGTGTCACGACCACCCAACTGTATGTAGTTGGGTGGTTTAATGAAATGTAAATGATGATGAACAGTGACAGGGGTATCTTTTGGTAAAACTCAGAACCAGGTAAAAGAATTCAAGATTTCTCTCCACTTAAGGTAGACTTAACTTCCCCACTTAAAATAAACTATCTTTATTATTTCTTTAATAAATCAGAATGAGGGTAATTACATTCTGCATGCCCTATTTTTTTTCAGACATCTCTAGAAATGAAAAATTAGAATGAGCCCTCTCATAGTTGTTAACATTTAAAAACTAATATCCATAGAAAAATTCTGAATTTCTAAGATACAGATTTAGAATGCTAGTGGACTCAGAAAGACAATGAAGTTATTTTGGGATAGTAAGACAGTGAATGACAATAATAGATGATGACGATCCCAGCGTATGGAGTCAGACTGTAACCAGGTACCCACCACAGTGTCTAATGGAAAGGAAATAATACTGATGTTAACATCACTGAAGAAACTATAAACTAGTATAAAATGTGGAAAGTTAGTCGTCACTGGCAAGCAGCCATCTTTTTCAGTTATTTCACCACAAAACAACAGACACAGAGACAGCCCTTTGGCTGGTGTGTGCAGTGCCTGGGGATCGTGGCCTTCAATGCTTGTCAATCTTACTTTGTTCTGAAGAGAGTTACACAGCTTTACTACGTCCATGTCATTTATGTGCTTACCTGAGAATGGGAGTGGGTCTTTTCTTTGTCATTAACTGATCATGCTAAACCACATGTTCAAAATCCCCCTCCTAGTACACCCTACCCTCCCCTACAGCAGACAACACCCCACTGGGCAAGGGTAAAGAGCAAACCCATGGCCTCTGACTCACCTTGAAATGGTGCAGGTGAAGACTGGGCCATGTGTAAATGCTCCTCGCTGATCAAATAGATGGGCTGATGTTGAGCAATCTCCACGCTTGTGCACACGTTACTTTCTCCATGAAGAAAGAACGTGAAAGCACAGGACAAATGCTCACTGAAAGAAAAAGAACCAGAGACTCATTTTTTTTTCTTTTGGCAAGAAGCAGTGCTGGACAGCACCTGGATGCAGCTCTACCCTCCTGGCCACCCAGCCAAGCTGCCTGGCATCTGCTGGGGAGAAACAGCAGCCTCCAGTTGATGGTGCTGTTCCTAAACCTTGCAGGTGCTCTGCAGAATGTGCCCTATTAGCACAGGAAGCTCCCTTGTCAACTGGAGACAGGAGAACCCACAGGGCCTCCTGCACAGTTCAAAGCCCTGTTAGGCCTATAAAGGAGGAAACAGGATTTTTGTTGTTGTTTGTTTTGTTGAGGCAGTGTTTCTCTATGAAACAGTCCTAGCTGTTCTAGAACTCATTCTGTAGACCACGCTGGCCTTGAACTCACAGAGCTCTGCCTGCCTCTGCCTTCCAAATGCTGGGAGAAAACAGAATTCTTTTAAAATTACTTTGAAAAGTGGATTATGAATAAGATTTAAAAAAAGCAAAGGAGTTAAGATTTTATCCCATTTTAGAAACAACAAAATGGTTTTGCTTATTTGGAGTACATTATAATAAAAATGTCCTATTTATAGCTTAAAGCATTACTATAGGGTTAAAGTGACTGGCTTAAAAAGTAGTAATAGGGCCTGGAGAGATGGCTCAGCGGTTAAGAGCATTGCCTCCTGCTCTTCCAAAGGTCCTGAGTTCAATTCCCAGCAACCACATGGTGGCTCACAACCATCTGTAATGAGATCTGGTGCCCTCTTCTGGCCTGCAGACATACACACAGACAGAATATTGTACAGATAATAAATAAATATTTTTTTAAAAAAAAGTAGTAATAGGTTGGCATATGCCTGTTGTCTGAGCACACGTGGGAGTCCGAGGAAGAAAGATCTAACCAAGTTCTGGGGTCAGCCTGGACTAAACAGTGGAGACTACTTCAGAACAAAGCAGTAATGGAGGGACCTGCACTTATACCGTGACTTGGGGATGCATGCAGTCTCTACTGGACATAAGGGTAACTATATAATCTACTTTTACAATTTAAATTCTGGGGTTTTTTTTGTGTGTATCTACTTATTCACATAAAGTTCTGCTATAATCCTCAAACTGGCCTTGAACTTAAAATCCTACTGCCTCAGCCTCCCAAGTAGCTGAGACCATAGGTGTGTGCCAGTATATCTCACTTATAATTTATCTCAGGTCACAGAATTCTGCTGAAACAATTCACTTCTCCAATTTCACATGCAATGAGCAAAAAATTGACTTTTAAAAATGAAGTGTCATGGAAGGAAAAATTACGATAGTGGCATTTTCTTTCCATGCTGTTAAATCTGGCCCTGAGCCAGCAGTAACACCCTCATTCCTCAAAGAGCTCCTGGGAACATCTGCCTATGAACCAGTATAATGGCACCAATGCAGTCACTTCTGGAGAGCAGCTCCTGTTCACAATGCCTTCAAAATATTACAGGGGATATTCAAAGAACGCCTCAAAAAAAAAACCTTAAACCTTGTTTCTGATATAAAATTATAATGCTTTTACAGAAATAAGCACATCATTACCACAAGGGGAAACACACATGTTCGTGTCTGACGGTCATGTTCATACAAAGTGGCGTTTTGTGCTTTACTTAAGAATGGGATACATTTGGTCTTGGAAGTAGATGGTCAGCATAACACTACAAAAGTGTGGTTTATTTGAGAAGAATTTTTTACAATATCTAGCATACCACAGAGCCAAAACACAGTTTTACGGACTATGAACTGGCTATCTTTCAGCCAGGAGGTTGGGCTGACTCATCCTATGCATAGTCAGTATTCTCGGTGGACCATGGTTTATGAGAAACTGTTGGGAGTCATAAGTGTTCAACACACATAGCTCTACTATCAACTGTGCACAAAAATGAATGTGGCCCGTTATCAGCTACTAAGTGCAAAGCATTTGCAAAGAGCTGAAGGGGCTGAAGGTGGGGGTCTCTACCCTAGAAGAAATGAGAACAGAGGCACAGGAACAAAAGCAGTGGCAGACACAAACACACAGAAGTAAGCAGTCACAACACTGACGCAGACGCTCCAGGGAAAGAAAGGGGGTGAACAAAGCCCTTCAGAAGCGGAGCAAAGGCAAGCGAGTGAGAATGAAACAGGGAGCAGATGTGGGGAGAGCAGAGTGGAGCTTGTAAACCGTACACAGAATAACCGTGTGAAGCACCCAAAAGGAGACATTTTTAAGAAGGCAAAAGCACTTGACTCAACAAAAAGATTAGTGTGTGCAAAATAGCAGAGTCGATGTATTTTTTTTCTAACTTCTTATTGGCTAAGATGTATTTATTTTTAAAAAGTTAGTTGACCAAATAGATGGATCTGTTAGGTGAATGTCAAACAGTACTCATTTGGATATCTCATATACCCCACAAAGAATGAAGCATGAATTAAAAAAAAAAAAGCCAAATCGCTTATTTTTACCATTGATTACCTTAAAAACAAAATGTCTTCTTTAAATAGATAATTAAAACCAGGCAAGAAAAGTATAAAGAAAGACAAATTTGTGGGGAGGGGAAATGGCATCCAGCAGTGATGGTGGCTGTACTCAGGTGGCAGCTTACTGCATCTCTGAGGACGCTTGCGTTCTGTGAAACTATGGTAGGTGCAGACTGCTGCCTTCAAAGGCTCCATTCTGCCACCACTTAAATGATCAGACTAACCCAGGCACACTCCAGTGGGTCAGGTTCTACCAAGTGGAAGGCGGAGGAAGTACAGGCACAGTTTGCTCCCACGGGCATAACATTTCTGGGGGACAACACACTTTTAAAGCCTAGCCGTGAAGGAAGTGAAAGGAGAGTCACAATATTTTTTATATCTGTGGATACTGGCCACATGTCACACAGAAAGCAACTGAGGTAAGATCGATCAAGACAGGCCCTACCTCTAGCTCCGGTTACGAATGATCACTATCCATGATACTTCATTTGGTTCTAGTGACCCTGATACAACATTCTGATGATTTGGTCATGGCATTGCTAAAATGGCAGGAAAGGCCACACTGATAAAAGTCTGTGTCATCTCATCACTTAGCCCCAGGTCCTAACTCACTAGTGTGCTGTTGTCCACTCCCCCTCTTCTCCAAAGACGCACAGCCACAGCAGGCTCTGTACTTCTCTCGGGCACTCAATACAACCCAGGGAGTTTCCTCCAGAGAGGACAGGGTTATGAGGCATTCGCAGAGGCACAGCTGTAATCAGCCTTGGAAGTCAGTGTTGTTCCCATTAGCTAGCTCATGCAAACATGGCTGGATCCCTACCATCTGGTGTATTTATATGTAATACACCAGATGTAATACACCACTGTAATTCAACAGTGAAAACATCAGGACTGTACCAATACAACTAGATGTACATGATGTTACACGGAAGTATTTTAGGGCTGGACACTCTTGTGTATTTATTTAATGTGTGCTGGCCTACATGAGGTTTATGCACACCATGGATACGGCGAATGAGTCTGAAGAGGCCAGAAGAAAGCACTGAATCCCTAGAGCTGGAGTTGTGAACCTCCATGTGGGTGCTTGGAACCAACCCAAGAACAGCAAGATTAACTCTGGAGCCATGTCTCTGCCACTCAGGGGGTTGGTATTCCTAACAAGCTTCAAGAAGTCAAAAGGGAAAGGGAAGAGTAAAAGAGAAATGGAAGCAAGGAAGGAAGGCAGTAGACCGGAAGGGTGGTGGTGTAGGAGAGCTCTAATCTGTGTGACTGAGTTACTATCTTACCACACACATGCACATAATAGATAGTGTACGTTCACAAAAACACTGTGAATGTAATACTATCATGTGCACACCTATGTGTGCACTGTGAACAGAGTGTTGTTTGCCCGCCACTGCACACTGCCTTGTTCTTCCTCCAAAGCTGGAGCTTGTGTTTGTGCCCCATTTGTGGATCCTTCTGTCTCTGACACCCCTGACACATACTAGGATTACAAGTGAGTGTAAGACCACACCAACTTATTCTTTTGTTGCTGGGATGGCCCCTCAGGTCTTTGTAGTTGTGCAGTAAGCTTTCTGGATCACTGAGTCACCTTTTGGGCCCCTGAGTTTTATTTTTTAAAAGTCGCATTCAAGAAAAATAACGACCATTGGGAAGCACTCATAATAATGAAGTCCTTACTAGGTTTGTTCTTTATCTTTTCCGTCTGTTTTAAGAAAATAAAGTTGTGTCCTGTTTGAAATGTGTAAGCAAGAGATGTTGTAATAATTACCTGGGATTTGTTCATAAAATGTCATCTTAAGTGCCTTGATGCTATTGAGACAATTTATTGAACTGTTTTCAAAGCGAGAGCTAAACTCCTTGCGTACAGCCAGACTTAGAAGGCTGCTGCATGCTTCCCAGTCCTGCTCCCTCGGTGCTTCTCTTTATTACAAGTTACAAAGAAGCCATCAAAACAGTTGGTTTCAAAGGACTCCTGGGTAAAACTGGCAGTGTGGTCTATAAAGCTCTCACCCATCAACACACTGTGCTATGTCCCTAGATATCAGTGTTTTCAATAACATGTTCACCTGTCTTCAGAAAGAAAAGTACACAGGTTTGTAAATAACACGCTCATGTGTCTCAGAGGAACCTGTGCACAGGTGTGTAAATACAGAGGGAGTGGTGTCAGTAAACCCATCCACTCAGGCGCTCACTAGCTCAGCAGGCAGGCCCCCTCCTTCCCAACATGAGGAGTAAAAGACCCCTGGCACATCACCACCCAGCTGCTCTCTGGCCTCAGGACCACCGCACACTCCTGGGCTTCACACTCACTGCTGGTACCGCACTGCACCACACCTGGGTTTACTTCTGCTGCTCTTTTGGTAGAAGAAACATCAGCCCTTCTATTCATTTTTTTTTTCCATTTAAAGTGATGTAATACAGGCCAAATACTTCTGTGTGTGTCCCAGCCAGAGGGCTTCCATTTTGAGATGTCCCATCCATCTAAGTTAGTTTTGAGCCAGTTTACATTTGTCATGGGCTACACTTTAGAT